GACAAATGGCGCGGTCACACCGGTCTAACATGAGATGCGTTAGATGTGGCGAAAGCCACAGATTGAGGAATGCGCCAAAAAGGACACCCCTAAATATGTAAACTGCGGAGGCGAGCATTCTGCTGCTTATAATGGTTGCACACAAGCAAAAAAAGCTAAACAAGTACAACACATCAAAATCACAGAAAAAATCACATATGCACAAGCATCACAAATATGGACAAATAAAAAAAATCCCTCTCAAACTAACATTGTCACACTAACCTCCCAAATGAGGAAAGAGGAACAAGAAAACACACAAATTAAACCAAGAGATGCGATACCTGGCTCATATGCCAACGCTGCAACCACACAAAACGTACCTCCCGCAACCACCAGCACCCCACAAACTCAAAATGTCTTACCACCTCGAACAACCTCAAAAAATCCTTCGAAAATCCCTCGAAAAATCCCACAAAATCCTTCAACAACATCAACAAACTCCACAACAATCACTTAAAAAAAAAAGACAATGAAAAGAAAGAAAATCCTTCTGTACCCTGAACTTTATAGCTACAGCAAATGATGATCAGATAATTGACTTTATATGTCAATTGATCCTCTCACTCACAGAGGGCAAAACTCTCAAAGAAATAAATAATTTAGTTCTGGTCGCAGCGAAAAGATTGCTGCAGCAATTAAGTAGTGCTAACAATGTTGATAACGATACTTAAAACATTGATGATACTGTTTTCCATACTACAATGGAATGCACAGGGATTACTAGGGAATGGAAAAGAACTTATAAAGTATTTGAATACACAAAAAAATTGCTATGATTTGATATGTATACAAGAAACATGGTTTCAGGAAAATAGAGTTCTTCTAATTCCTGAATACACATGTCTCCCAAGAAATAGGGAAAATCAGGCGAGGGGAGGATGTGCGATATACGTTCATAATAAAATCAAGTATGAAGGTCCAATGAATGATGTAAATTTAGAAATACAGCAAGTAAACATACACGCAGGAAATGTGAACTTTTATAATCCTTGTAAGAAATTAAATGAATATACTATAAATGTGCTATTAAAAAACTTGAATAAAAATGATAAAATTATTATAGAAGGCAATTTTAACGCTCTTGGTACCATGTGGGGAAGTGACAAAACAGACAAGAATGGACAAGTGATAGAAAAATTCGTGAATCATCATAATCTAATTGTTTTGAATGATGGCGAAGGAACCAGACTGGATCCACGAACAGGAAAACTGCCATGCTTAGATTTATGTATAACCACTCCTTCACTGGCATGTAGAAGTACTTGGAGAGTCATGGAAAGCCTTTTTGGAACTGATCACTTCCCAATAAATATCCAAACAACTTTAGACGGGAAAAGCTCTGAATATAAAGATGCTTCAATAAGAAGTGCAGATGATTTTATCTCCTTAAAACATATAAATTTGAAAAAAATTTGCTAAGAAATGTAAAGAGATGATTACAAATGATGTCATACTTTTAAATAATGATATACAGGAAATATATGACAATTTCAGGAAATATTTAAAATTGTGTATAAAAGAAACTGTACCGAAAAGGAGAAAATGTCTCTAAAAATCCGGTGCCTTGGTGGACCAAAGAATGCACAGAGAAAATCAAAGAGAGAAATAGAATGTGTAATAAGATCTGGGCTTGTATAAAACGGCTGAATGGTGTACTAATACAAAAAAAAATATATGTCAACATTGATTGTTAATAGTAAAGATATTGTCTCCGATCAGGAGAAAGCAAATGCCTTTGGAAATTACTTTCAAAAAATAGGAATAAAAGACAGGGATACTAATAAGGAATTACCGAAGGCACCAAACAATGACATTCATATTTTAAATGTAGATCATGTTGTAAATGAACCCTTTTTTTATAACAGAATTTGAAAAGGCAGTGCAATCGTGAAAAATGACTGCCCTAGGTAAAGATAATATACCATACGTTGTGTATGAAAATCTGCCAAAAGCAATCAAGGAAGTCATGCTGAATATCATTAACTTAATATGGAAAACCGGGAAAATTCCAATTCAACTAAAAAGCATTCTGTAATAATCCCCATTCTCAAACATGGAAAAGATCCCAGAAATACATCGTCTTATAGACCAATTTCTTTAACATCATGTTTTGCCAAGATAATTGAACGAATGATAAAAGAAAGACTGCAATGGTATGTTGAAAAGCATGAATTATTACCCAATTTTTTAAGTGGATTTAGGAAAAGTCGTAGTGTGACGGACAATATTGTACAATTAGAAAATGACATCCAAAAGACCATAAACTGTAACGAACATGTAATAGCAATTTTCTTGAATGTCGAGAAAGCGTTCGATACAGTTTGGATAAAGGGTCTGGTTTTTAAATTAGCAAAAAATGGAATAGAAGGGAACATCCTGAGGTATATAGAAAAGCTGGAATGCCGTTTTACCGCCTGATATAGAACTGAATGGAAATGTGCTAATGTACGAAAATTCTCATCGCTTTTTAGGGGTAGTATATTTGATAAAAGGTTAACTTGGCAACCACATATCGAAAATGTAATCACGAGAAGTAAAAGAAAATTAAATATCTTAAGATGTCTAACTGGAACAAACTGGGGAATTAGCTCCTCGAAATCATTTATTATGGTGTACAGAGCACTTATAAGGTCTCTTTTTGATTACGGATGTGAGGCGTATGACAGTGCAGCTGCTACCACCAAAAAAAGCCATTGACTCTGTCCAATACCAAGCACTGAGGATATGCGCGGGTGGGCTGCCCTTAACCTCCTTAGAATCACTACAGGTGGAAATGGGGGAAATGCCTTTGGATACAAAAAGACAAATGCTTTCAAGTAAATATAGACAAAACATCGAAAGATGGGCGAATCATCCGTTGTTGAAAAACATTGAACCGTGTTGGCATTTTGAAAACGTAAACGTAAACAAAAACAAACCTTTTGGATATAGAATATAAAGCAAGCTGGGAAAACGTATAGAAACGATAACATCCTTCCCATTTCCACCATGGTTATATTCTACCCTCCGGCAGTGTCAACGGCATGGGTGTCGATCTGTAATTGATACCTATTGTTCAGGGGGGGGGGGTGATCTATTCATTCATCCCCCTGAACAATAGCTATTACGTAAGGATCGACACCCATGGTCAACGGAATTAAGTACTCGAATAAAGAAAACAGATCATCCTACAGCAAAAACAAAGCAGCCTGGAAATCATACAATAAATGGGCGACTCAATTATACACCGATGGATCAAAAGTACCTGAAAGAGGGACCTCTGCAGCTGCTTTTTACGTCCCTTACTATTCTGTACATCGGAGCAAAAGGTTAGCAAATTTCACCTCTTCGTATACAGGGCTGAATTGGCTGCCATATCATTGAATTAGATTTTTATGTGGGGGTTGTTATTTTTAGTGATTCACTGAGTGCACTTATTTCATTACAACAACAGAAGGACGAATCTTTTATTCTGGAAATTCTCACCATGAATGCTCACTTAAAGAGTAAAGGAATTGATATAATTATACGTATAGAGTGGATACCTGGACATTGTGGAATAAAAGGGAACGAGATGGTGGATTTCCACGCAAAGGCCGCATTAGTAAAGAAAATAGAAGTCAATAATAATCTAAATATGTCAGAAATGAAAAGCTTAATTATTACAAGTTCCAAACTCCTTTGGCAAGAAAGGTGGAACAAAACCAACTCGTATTTGAAAATATTTCAAAAAGATGTTAAATAACAATATATATGTTCATTAGAGAGACAACATTCAACATTATTCATCGACTCCGCTTTGGAGTCCTTGGACAGGTAAAGACCAGTTATGGTCATGCGATTGCATTGTGAAAGAATTAACGTTGTGGAATCGATCAGAAAAGGTTGATCAGCATCTAGCATCTGCAAGGTTCTGGAATCATCAAAATGATAAGAAATTAGGCCCATTCTTCGTAAAGGTACAAGCGCTTGCCGACACAAAAAGATGTATATGGGACTACCCTATATCTCTCACAGACCATGAGAGAAACAAATTTACCAAATATATGAATTAGTAGGCGGTTTCCCGGCAATTTTTTTATCATCATGTTTGAAATTGGGGCGTTTCCAATATTGGTCTTTACCTTTAACCAAGATCTCCTTAGATTGAGAATCATGCTACTGGTTTCTGTAATAGATGCCCCAGTGAAATAGAGACTGTAAAACATTTTTTAGTACATTGCCCTAACTATATTATAGAAAGGGCTATGTTTTTAACAGAAATAAACGAATCCCAACCGGAAAAAATTATGGAAGACTTAAAAAAGAGTGAATCCAGTATACAAAAAGCTGTAGTACGGTTCGTTCACAGAACGAAACGGTTCCCTATCAGGAAGTATTACCTCCCTTGATGAACAGTAAAACACAATACTATAAATATGCTAAATTACACTAGTACATTAAAAATATAATAACATAATGTAATAAGAAAATAAAATAAGAACAGTAAAACATAATACAATATTATAATATGATATATTACACTGAAATAAGAACAGTAAAACAATGTTATGCTAAATTACACTCAGTACATTAAAAATATAATAACATAATGTGATAAGAAAATAAAATAAGAAAAAGTAACAACAATGATAAATGGTATGATAAGATTATTGAATATAGTCTAGAGGCTTATGTAGGTAATATCTTGTATACATATTTATGTATGGTGTGTATGTGATATAACAAATAATCTACACGTACTGTTAAGAAACACTAACAATTAAAGCCCGTGAATGTTTTGCTTACGATATTATTTTTCGATACTATCTTAAAAGATAGATAAATATAAAACGAAATAAATATATTTTTCAAAAATACAAAAATGAGAGATATAAGACGTACCGTAAAGTATTTTGGTGACAATAGTCAAATTACTGATTAATCGCCAATAAACCAAAACACAACAACAACAACATATTCACTGAAAACCCAAAATCCACACAACCTTTCAAAATGAAGTCCAGATTTACGACGATTGACCTCCGGGCAATACTTTACGAGATTGGATCCAAGTAAATATCAAACAGACCCTTCTGATATTATTTTGAAAAGTGGATCTGGCTTTTCGTGTATCTAGTCTAACAATTTAACAGTCGCGGTATTGCGCTTGCCACGCGTGGCTTCGGGTTCAGGTTCGCCCTCGGCCCTCCCCGCCGCCTGCCGGCGAGGACGAGGTGGAGCTGAGCTCCCAAAAATTGTGGTCCCGTATGCTATTATTTGTGTGATATTATTATTTGTTGTTGTTGTTATTGTTATTGTTATTTTTCCAGTCGAAGTTGAAGGTATTATCCACAAGTTTCATTATAATAACATTTTCACAAATAATGTCAATGCAAACAAACAAAAATTGAAAATTCATGCATGCAAACACTGCACTATGAGTATGATGACGCTTGTTCAGAAACGTATAAAAAATTTGACCCGTAACTTTGACCCGTAACTTTGACCCGTAACTTTGACCCGTAACTTTGACCCGTAACTTTGACCCGTAACTCCGGCGTGGAGATACCCTACTAAAAAATACCCAAAATGAAGTAAATATTCATTAAATGTCCAAATAAAGAGATCATGAGTTAAAATCTGAAATGTTTATTACCTGTTTCGCGTCAATTTTCTTGTTATTTTTGGAGTATTTTTCGGAAGAACATTGATGATTAGTATACACTTTTTCACAAGTTTCACTGCAAACCGCTGCACAATACAAGTGCATACCGATGATGGGTTGCGGGCGGGTGCGAGCCTGTGTGAAGTTATCTACTGTAATGAGGATCTGAGACATTACGGTAGATAACTTCAAAATGCGTAAAGTTCTACGTGTCATGACATGAGTCACAATTTTTGACATCAACATTCATGATTCATCATGTTCAGTTTTGAGATGGAGACTCGTTTAAGAGGTTCTACAAAGTGTTCTACGATGCAATGCTACCTTTAAATTTGAACCCTCTCTTGCCCTTGTCAGGTTAGATTCTGCCCCTATTTTATATCTTATCTGTTGCTCTAGGACTAGGACAGTGAGAATTTAGGCTCACATGTATGCAAAATTATTGAATTGGTTGCACTCTTCTATTTCTTTTTCATCATTCAGATTGCTTGGACTTCGTGTACTTAATGTCTATGATGTCAACAACAAAACCTACTTGATTCGACTTGGAGGGTAAGTGCGTCAACTAAATTGTAGATACTATAAAACAATCAAATATATACAATTTTTGGCAGACCAGCCAACACGTTCCAATTTTAAATTCTGTTGAATTGAATATTATTACAATTAGTTTCTTCCTCTTTGTATTAATTTAGTATGTTATGGATTTTTCCAGGACTGACCAGAAAGTTGTCCTGCTCTTCGAGTCTGGAACTCGCATGCACACCACTTCATTTGATTGGCCCAAGAGTCAGATGCCATCAAACTTTTCCATGAAGTTGAGGAAACACTTGAAGTCTAGACGTTTAACGGAGATCAAGCAGCTAGGTGTTGACAGAGTTGTAGACTTGCAGTTTGGCTCTGATGAGGCTGCTTATCATGTTATTGTTGAGCTCTATGACAGGGTATGCTAAAGCTACATTTTGTCTTGAGTTGAGGACATTATAATTTATAAGCCATACATTTTTTGGTCTTATTTATCATACCGGAGATAATATTTCTGTAAGATTTTTTTCTTCTAAACATGTTCCTGTAGGTTTCTTCAATCTGTAATAACAGTATTATAGTCTATAGATTATGTAATGGCTGATGCTTTCCAATTCTTCTAATCAGTGGTAAACCAGACATTCCTGAAAAAGGGTTATGAGTATTTGTAAATGTATTTGATAAAAAAAGTGAAGATTGCAGCTATTGAAAAGCAAGATCCAATGATCCATAAAATGTGCAGTGACAAGAATGAAGGCTTATGAAATGTTACAAGTACATACAACATGGAGAGGAGATTTGAGTAGGGTGAGGTAAAAGTGAAAGCCATGCAAGTCTACATGTACATGCTGACGCTGTGCTATAATGAATAGATAAAAAGATTTTTTTCTGGAGAAGGAGTTGATGTCATTTTACTTCTACTCATACAGGGAAACGTTGCGTTGACAGATCACGAGTACACTATCTTGACTCTTCTGAGGACACGTAAAGACAGTGAGGATGTCAGGTTTGCAGTCAGAGAGAGATATCCCGTAGACACAGCCAGACATCCAGACCCTATTCCATCATTAGAGAGGTAAGAGAACTAGAACAAGTACAAGGTTGTCCGACAGAGGATCATATTGGGATACATTCATTTGTGACAGGCGAAACATGGATCTCAGTTCACAGGTTGATTATTGTGGAAGAGAAATAGGCATGTATAAAGAGAAATTGTAGATATGAAGAGAGATCTTTACAGACACTAATGGTGATGAGGAGGAGCAGGAGTAGGATGGTGCAAGGTAGCTGTCGTTCGTATACATTGATTTTGCCATTGTTTGAAATAAAAAGACAGGCAATTGTTTAATCAATGTGAAAAGCAAGTTCCAATTACTTCACTCATCTGTATGTAGCAGAAGGAAAAAAAGAAAGAAAGAAAGAAAAATGTTTGTAGAACACTTTGGGAACTTTACCCTTAAACCCCCTAACAGTTACTTCTTGATTAATATGTTTGATTGTATTTCAATCTTTATTCTAATCATCTAGCTATTTCTTTCCTCCCTTCTCTCTTTATTTTTCCTTTCTCTCTCATTGGATGTTCTATCTCAGGATACAAGAGATCTTAGCTGCAGGAAAACCAGGAGATAACATCAGAAAACTACTCAATCCTCATTTTAGTAAGTCATGATATGGCCAGCAACTTTTAAGACAATCCATTTAATTTGAAGTAACAATTATTTTAGTTTGGCTAAGATTCTGCCTTGCTTATTAAGTTACATATTTTAGAGATAAATGTCCAACTTTGAAATTTTTTATTTTTTTTAATGCTGTAATATCAGCCATAGAAAAAAGGGGAATATGGAAACAAATGGTGACAGATTCAGAGCTTACAGACAATATTCTTGGGCAGATTGTTAATAAAACATAGTAGTACATCCCCAAAAAACATTCACTCCTAGGCCTTTGTTATTTAAATTGTACATAATGAAGTAGCCCTCAGATGTGTAGATGAATAATGATAATAATAATAAAAATAACAATCATATAAGAGATTTGTAAGGCATCAAACCCATTGAAAGCAAATGCTCGAAGCGCACGTGTGAAATAAAAATGTTATCGTTTGTTGTATATTACGTTCCATTAATGTTATTTTTTCTCCATTTCTACAGTCTATGGACCTGCCTTAATTGAGCATTGCCTTCTGAACCAAGGATTCCCTTCAAATGCAAAAGGAAACAATGGATTCGACATTCAGCAAGGTGAATCTAGGATATTTTATTTCAACTCTTGTTCACATCAAGGATATTTAAAATGTTAAACTCCAAAAATTAAAGCTTGTCCAAAAGGACAGAGCCAGAGACATTCCCCCAAAGTAAAAACTACAAGAAATTTATAAAAGAAAACAGAAAAGAAGAAGATCAACAAACAAAACAATATGATGCCAGAATGGTAGTAAAAAGTATAAATAACTAATGCATGTAAATTAACTAGGAGCAGTGATGGAGATCTTTTCTTGTATTTTGCAGTTCACAGTTTACGCAAGTATTGAGATCCAATGATTGCAATCAATTTTAACCCCCAAATAAGTGGCACATTTGTGGTAAAATTCTGATTGGGAAAAGATCTTTATTCTTGTTATTAATGCAGACATGTCCCGAGTGATGACATCATTGTCAGAAGGAGAGCAGTATGTGGAGAAATCAGGATCAGAATGCAAGGCAAGATGGATTTCCTTGTTCTGTTCACTTTTGTTTGATTTATGGCTTTTAAATGACTCTGTGGCCATATGGTACAGTTGAAACATTTATATCATTTAAAAGTTATATCATTTGTCTACTTTTAATTTCTTTTAAAGAGATATAAGGTATTTTGTCTATCAGCGCTACAATTTTTTTTATTTTGATTTGATTTATTGGTTTCTGCATCTTTTTTCTTTTTTTTTCATCATACATTTTCATGAACATAACGTGGCTTGATACAATATTTCAAGTGTATATAATTTTATACAGATAATAAACGATATTAAACAAATATATTGAATTTAAACAAATATATTGAATGCATAATTAACATACATTAGATGCAGGAGGGCTACAGAAATGAGCAAAGTAGCTTGACGTGCCAGCAGCCCTCAACTTAGATACAAAAATACAAATAAAAATGAAAAAGAGTGACTTGCAGAGAAGAAAAGGAAAGGGGAGAGAAGGAGCGTTGGTAATAATACAATACATCTCATACATCTGCTGATTGAATGCAGGTTCATTCATGAATGGAAAAACGATGCTAGGTCATGGACACAGCATTGTTGAATATACAGTCAATGTACACACAAACATGAATACAGTACAATTACACATGACATGATCAATACTTAGACAATAACATAGTTTTAACTGCCTTCTTAAAAGAATACAATGCCCTAGGGTTTCTTATTACAATGGGCAGAGAGTTCCAGATGTCTGGGCCGGCATGTCTAATGGAATTGAGAGCCAATGCGGTTTTTGGATTTCTTAAATGGAATTTTTCAGTTTGTCTTGCAGGGTAAGAGTGGATGGTTTTATTCAAATTAAACAGTGGGGGAAAGTATGAAGGTAGTAGACCATTTTGTAAGCAAAACATGAAAAGTGTTATTTGTAGAAAATTTATATCATCAGCTTTTAGAGTTTTTAGTTTTGAAAACATGGGATTGGTGTGGTCACAATAGGAAGAATCAGTACATATACGCATGGCTTTCTTTTGTAACAGTAAAATGGCATCAACATTGCTTTTCGAATTTGCCCATATAATGTTACAATATGAAATATAAGGCAGTATCAATGAATTATATAACATAAACAAGATATTTGAAGGAACATAATATTTCAATTTACAGAGAATACCAATATTACGTGTGTAGAGATAAAGTGTGTGAGGTAATGTGAATGGATATTTGAAAGCGTGTTCACTCGTCACACAACATAACTCTTATTTTTATTTAGCTACGAGGAAACAAGGTTGCACTGACAATAAAATACATGAAAGAAAGTATTCCCTTTTCGTTAGTTTATTGGGTACTGATGAGGCTGGCCGTACACTTGCAAAGTGTAGCCAAGCACAAGCCGAAGAATCGGAATGAAAATGCATAAATGGTAAATGTGAACATTGCACGGAGATTACATAATGATCAATGATGATAATGAACATGAATAAATGCGATGTACATAATGAACGTGAATAAATGCGATGTACATAATGAACGTGAATAAATGCGATGTACATAAATAGAGCTTACGACAATAGTAGAAATGAAGTCGAAAGTCCAAAGAAGATGAGATGAAGAGAGTTGAGAACGAAGGAAGGGGCTCACGCGATGAAATGTGCGGAGGCTTGATGGCGGAAACGCGACTTCGTTGACGTGGTTGAAGAACCGTGAAGAACGCGATGTCGTCGCCGACGCTCGTGATGATGATGAATGTAGATGGAGCTCTCGGGCGAGAAGAGAAGAGAAGAAAGTGACGCTCGACGATGAAACAGTGAGTCGTTTGATGTCGGAGGCCAAAGTGGAAAATGCAGACATCAAAGCCGGTAGTGGTGCTGAGCAGTGAGTCGCTCGATTGATGAGCCGAACTTTGATGATGAATGTTTAGATGAGCTGCGGTGAGTCGAGCTCATGTGAGTGAAAGACTACCGGTGAAGAAACTGGCAGCTCCCAGCGGATAACCAAGCACCATATATGTCGGAACTTGATTTAACTGTTCCACTGGAAGACTGCAGCCCGATGAACACGGCAGAGAAAGTGAAGATGTGCCGATAGAAGTGATAGGCACAGTAGAATCAAGCCCGGAGAGGAAATCATGCAGAGACGTGTTGACTCAACTGAGATGTAAGCAGGAGTTGTTGACTCGACCGAGGTGTAAGCGGGAGTGGAGAAAAAAACTCGTGACGTTGAAAATACGCGGGTGAGCGATGCGCGGAACCACGATGCTCGATTGGAGGAATGAACACACGTGGTCCGAATAATGAATATAAATAAGTACCGTGATGGGAAAATACTGGAGACATGAATGTACGGTGAAAGTAGGGCGAATGTAAGTAGGGCGAATGTAAGAGCCGCTACACGTGAAATAGTATTAGAAATATATTGCACATGATCATTCCATCTCAGATTTTCATTGATCAAAACACCAAGGAATTTTGTGCTATCCTTTTTTTCCAATAATTCACCATCCAAAGTAATTTCAATGTCAGGAATATAGTTTTTTTTTTCTGTTCTGTAAGTATATATAGTTTGTTTTCTTTAAATTAAGAGACAGTTTATTACTTCTAAACCATTTTGATAACTTTGGTAATTCAGCGTTAATATTTCTTAAAAGGATCTGAAAATCCGAATTGGAACAAAATGCATTGGTGTCATCAGCGAATAAAAATATACTGTAGTGCATTTGATGAATTATAAATATCATTTACATATATATCAGAAATAACAAAGGGCCGAGGATTGACCCTTGTGGCACTCCACACGTTATAGATACTAATTCTGATTCATTTGAATCATAACATACATATTGTTTTCTATTTGTTAAATCATTTTTAAACCATTGTATAGCAACACCCCTCAATCCATAGTATTCCAATTTACGTATAAGTATCATATGGTCAAGAGTGTCAAATGCCTTGCTCAGATCCATGAATACTCCAATAACATGCTTAAGATCAGCTAAGGCATTTGACACTCTATCAGATAATTGTGACAAAGCTAACTCCATTGAATGAAATTTTCTAAAACCATATTGATTTTCATACAACAGTTCATTTTTTGTTAGAAAATCATACAGTCTATTATAAGTCAGTCTTTCTAAGACTTAAGAAATACTTGGTAAGATAGAAACAGGTCGGTAATTTGAAACTAGAGAAGAGTCGTCTTTTTTGTATATTGGAATTACATTTGCTATTTTCAGTGAGTCCGGAAATACTCCCATTGTAAGTGATAAATTACAAATGTGTACTAGAGGCGTTACAATACTTCCTGCTATTTGTTTTAAAAAGTGCGTACTCATCTCATCATGACTACAAGAATAACTAATTTTCAATGAATTGACAATATTCAAAATTTCAACACAGTTTGTAGGCATAAAGAAAAACGATTTATCACATGGATTTGAAAGGAATTGTATATAATCTGAACCATTGGAATTTATTTTTGATGCCTGAATAGGGCCTACATTTACGAAATACATATTAAAACAATCTGCTATATCTTTAGAGTCTGAAATTGTCTGACCATCATTGTTAATATTAATTTTTGACTTGGCCTTTTGCTTTCGAAGAGTTTCTTTTATGACTTTCCAGGTAGATGCCATATTGCCGTTAGCATTTTCAAATTCTTTTACATAGTACATTTTACGAGATACTCTAATTATTGTTGTTAATTTATTCCTATAACATTTATATTCATATTTATTCTCGTTACTTGGATCACGGAGACTACGTTTGTACAATATATTTCGTTTCTTAATTGAACGAAAAATTCCCTTCGTTATCCATGGATTTTGTGGTTTTCTTTTATTTTTATTTTACCTAAATATTGTACAATCACACTCTGACATTTTATCTCCTGGCTTTTTTCATTTTTTTTCCTGAAAAATATTTTTTTTAGACCAATAAAGTTACCATTGTCCTTCATAAATTGCAATAAACCTTATATTAGTGTCTTTTACTTCAAAAATTGACAATCTCATGAATTAGTATGTTTTGTTACTTTTTATGATGTTTCATTGGCATTTAGAGCATGCTCTCTCTCTCTCTCTCTCTCTCTCTCTTAGCTTAAATACGACCTTCATATCTCTGTAGAGAATATTAACCTTTGTGATTATGTCTATTTCTAACTTAATATCCCCAGGGTTATATCATTCAGAAGAGAGAAAAGAAGCCAGCAGCATCGCAAGATGGTGAAGATGCGGAGCTATTGACGTAAGTGTTCCATTCATCACAGAAACAAACAAAGTGATCAGCTCTGAAGTAAAACAAACAAATATCAAAGACATGAATTCAGTGATTCATTTTGTACATTCACGTCATAGACGTTAACTAGCATCTGCAACAAAATTAAGCACAGAGCAAATCTGGGATCTTAAGATTGTCAAATTGTAAGACAAGAGCTTGTGCGCTAGCAAAAAGGCATTTTATTCCCAACATTTTTACCTATCAATGTAACTCTCATACCAATATTCATATATCTAACAGCATGCATTCTTCTCAAGTTATATAGTAACCAATTGTTAGGAAATGAAAAGTTTAAGCTGAAATTCATGTTGAGATACGAAAACTTTTTTATTCTTTCAGGTACACTGAGTTTCACCCATTTCTCTTCAAACAACATGAGTCCCAACCTTACCTTGAATTCGACACTTTTGATCAGGTGAGACAGTGACTGTTTTGTAGAAGGCCATATTCCTAATGGTTTTACAAAGCAATAGCTATTATGACTTTGTGTAGAATGCTGAAAACTGAAGTAATAGATATATGCGCTCTTGACCCCTCCCTAGGAGGTTATATACAAGTAGCTGTAATGTTTATACATAAAAATTTGATTATGCTGGTTAGCTTACTGTCTATTTGGTGAGCTTGTAGATGTAAATTATCTCAGTTACCAATAAAAATGTGTTTGTACAACAGTGTCTATTCTGACGATGATGTTTCCCATAACAATGAATTTGATTTTGTTTCACCCCCCCCCCCCCCTTTCCTCCGGAATAAAAGAGCTAGATAGTGTATTTAAAGGGAGTTAGACCTTGCATGTTTTGGCAGGGTTTTTTTTAAATCAGATTTAGAGCACCCTTGTTATTGTGCCAGTAAAGTAGGAAATAAGAGAGGAAGTTGTTAGGTTGGCAAGTTGCCAATCCTTTGGTATTTGCCATGTATTTTTTTTTAAATGAACCAGTGGAAAAGGTTGAGGTGGACAACACAGAATTTATCCAGTCAGCTTAGTCATTTCCTCATCATTTGGTGAGTTGCACCGTTGCACCATCATGTGTAAAATAAAAATTGTTTGATCAAACCCAGTAACATGCATTAAATTATTCTACTTTAACTAAATTTTTCCTTTGTTTTGAATGACCATCACTTTCATGAGGTTTGCCATTCATTAATATCAGGGCCATCTTTCATAAAACCAGATATCAATAAAATATGTTTTATTGTGGCAGGTTTGATTCATAAGAAGTTTTATGAAAACAGGGCCCTGGTTCACTATTGTTCCAAGACTGTATATGCATATACATGTATATCAACAGCAACGGCAGCATGCACTTTCAAAAAGTGCAGCTTGGAAAACAATATTACTGAAGAAGTTTAAATGATGTTTATTTGGAAACCTCTGTTCTAGGCTGCGGATGAATTCTTCTCAAAAATGGAAAGTCAGAAGTTGGACATGAAGGTTATTCAACAGGTAAATATGACAGTTAACATAGTTTTATTCAAGTGCATACTTCTGTTTTTGAACCTTTATTTTGTTGGTATGGATAGTTTATATTGATGAAATAAGTTTGTTATTGTGTCTCTGTGCCATCCTTTGGTCTATGCGTGGCAGCAGCCTGTATCAATAATAATATACCGTGTATAGTGCATATAATGTCCCCATGTGCTTTCAAAGGACTTTGGATATGTATACATATTTATGTGTGTGTAAGGTGGGGGGGGGGGCACCATAGAGATTGCATAATGAATGACCTTGCCCTCATCAACAATCAATCAAACGTGTGGCTACAACAACTAGATGAAATTGCTTGATTTTTTTACTCCCATGTGTGAAGAAAGGGACCATCTATCTGTCTTTGAAAAACATTGAAAATAGTGAAAACATACTGATGTATTGTTTTCTGCAATTTGCTGATTATGAATTCCTGATAAACAAGAATTGTTTTCTTTTTTCCCCTTTTAAAGGAAAGAGGTGCACTAAAGAAGCTGGACAATGTGAAGAAGGATCATGAAAAGAGGATAAGTTCACTTCAACAAAATCAGGTAAAGATTTGTATTTATATATGTTTTGGATTTGAAATATTTAAAACTGCATGTAGAGTCATAAGCGTGATCATTTTTTATTTCCCTTTATGACGTATTTATCAATATTACATGCTGAGACCATCTTGCATTTTCTTGCATTTTTCTTGGATTATTCTTATATTTCTAAGTGGAAAACAAATCTTAACTGTATATAGGCGTAGAATGTACACCTATTTGTACAATTCATGTGATCATGAATATATCAATTGTGAATATGAGATTTCTTACAAAGTAAGTGATCTCATGAATTAAAAGATCATACAAAATATTGTGGATAATATGTATATACCCTAAACAAAATATTGTAAAATGGATGCTGTAAAATGAATGTCTTTGATGATGGTGGCAGTCTCACCTGTAGTAAAATAACCTCTACATAAAGACCACCTGCTTATAAAGACCACATTTCTTGTTTCCCTTGACTATTTTACTTTGTTGGTTCCAAATCTTTAATAATTATGGTAAAAAGTTGTTTTCAGGGTTTAAAGATGAAGTTGAGTTCTGGTCATGCGATTGCATTGTGAAAGAAACGGTGTGGAATCGACCAGAAAAGGTTGATCATCTAGCATATAAGAATTTGTGTGTATTGCAAGGTTCTGGAATCATCAAAATTATAAGAAATTGGCCAAGTCTTGGTAAAGTTACAAACACTGTACACAGAAAAATGTATACGGGACTACACGAACACGTGGCGTAAAAAACCTACCCCCCGAGTTTTACAATGTACATGACATATTTAGAATATGAATGCATTTGAAGAGCCATGCTTTTCAGGGAACATGTCTTATCTGATGTTCTTCCACACTTGCATAATAAGAATGATAACGCTCACAAATTATTTTTCACCTCTTCCCAGAACTCAACCTTCTCTTTAAGTCGATTAAAGATGAATTGGAACTAGGGAATCATACTGTAAGTGGGAGGGAGGATATGATATACCGGTAATGAAATGTTCAATCTCTAGAAACTAAAAATGATTATTTTTTATGTCTTTGACAGGAACTGAATGAAAAGAAAGGGGCTCTGATTGAAATCAATCTCCCACTGGTAAGTATAGTGAAAACAATTATTTGCATGTGATAACAATTCTGTTAGTACGAATATACAGATTTTGATACAGATCTTGGGTAAATGTTGCCTTAAAATATAGCCTCAAAATAGGGTTTGTTAGCAAATTGTTTTGTACACTGATAAACACAAATGATTTTCCAGTTAATGGACAGTGAATTTATATAAAACTTTTGAGACAAATTAACGATTGCATTACTGGATCCAATTTTCATTACCTTTACTATTGTATATCGTGGATCAGGAGTGATCAGCTACATATTCTGTAACTTCAATTCCATATAATCAATAGACACTTTTTTGTAATATAATGTTTGATTTTTCTAAAAACTCCCTGAATTTTTTTAAATAACTTGTTTAGACTGATTAAAATGTAATCATTGGTAAATTATTTCTTGGAGTCTTTCTCTAAGCCTTTCATCATCATCATGTATACAGGAGTGTAGGATATCTTGTAGTTCCTCGGTCAGATCACTTGGTACATTAGTACATTCTCTTTATTGATCGATCGCTTCATTTGTAAAGAATTGTGAAATATAGGTGATATTTTGTTGGAGAGATTTATAAGCAAGCTTTTGTCTGTCTATTTATGAACAGGTAGAGCAGGCTCTTCGAGTGGTTCGTAGTGCTGTAGCCAACCAGATAGACTGGAAGGAGATTGATAGTATCATCAAGGAGGCTCAAACACAGGGTGACCCTGTAGCATTAGCCATCAGAAGCTTGAGACTGGACACCAACCATTTCCAGATGCTTCTCAGGTCAGTCACTCAACCAGTCATGCAGCGTTTGCTCTGGGCTTTGATTAATCATAGGGGTAGAGTGAGAGTTGGAACTTGTGGTTTTAGATTAAGGTTATTGTTTGGGTTAGAGTTGGTAACAATGTCTACTCCAGGGTTACGTTAGGTATTTGGATGATAGTGGTAAATGACCGTGTACGATTGTCACTGTAGCATGTGTTGTAGAACCCACAGACAGACCTTTAGAGATGTAAATTTTAACAAAACTTTCCTCTAGTTCCCAGACTTGAAAAATTAAGAAGGAATAAATCATTGCAAATCCAGAATTTAAAATTGCGAAAAGCGTCATCGACAAGAATGTGTAATACCTAGAAGTTAGTGATGATTAGTGATGTTTTGTTTGGGAACTTGATTTTTAATAAGATTTACATTTACAAAGAATGTGAAACACTTAACATGAACGTTGAATTTTGTGAAACATTGTAGAGCAAGTGCTATGAGTGACCATCAGAGGCGGAAACCGGCACTATAAAAGAAACCAATATCATTATCTTTGTCATTAACTTGCAATAGCTGCTCAAAGGTTGTGATGACTGTCAATGTATTGAACTGATTTTCACCTCTGATATCATCATATGCCCACACACATGTGATTTATGTATGAATGCAATATATTTTGTATGTTTGATATAAACAGAGATCCTTACAAACAGTATGATGATGCTGATGAAGGGGAGGAGGATGGAGCTCGACCAATGTTAGTAGACATTGATATCGCCCAGTCAGCATATGCCAATGCTAGAAAGTAAGTTGATATGTGATCCTCAGAAGTGAGTTCACCCTTCTCAAACTGTGTCAGGGATTCAGTATGATTTGTATTTACCCAATATATAACCCTAAAGGTTATAAAAGAGTAAATGTCCCGGCCCCCCACTCCGTGAATGGAGGGATACCATGCGTGTTCCCAAAATGTCTGGTAAAGGGGTACTTTTCACGCACCAAAGTCCAGCTCGTAGTACACAAAAATCTGGCCCGTATTGACTTTACACACCGGACCTAGAGGGGTGTTTTCAAAAGGAGGGAACATGCATATGCATACCCTAAATAACACTGAGTGGGGGGGGGGGGCCGGGGTAAATGTTCTGGGATATGTAAACAGGCACTAATAACTCTTTCACTGAAATACATTTTTGTGAACAAAATATTGTGTGAATCAACTTCTGTGAAGGATGTAGTCACTATCTTATGAAGAAAATTGATTTCTTGTACATGTATAAACATAACTCAGTCCTTATTCATACAAGTATGAAGGCTAGCAGTTCGGAAGTGACACTTACGGACAGGCTGCCTTCCTGAATATTAGTAGGAACATTTAGATTATTTTAAAATTATTGAGTGGTGGGCTTAGTAAGGTTTGGAACACTAACGCATTTCATGTGGGAACCTGATGGATCCTGTATTAAGCTCAGGGAAATGAGGAAATTCAATAGTCAATGGGTTGTTCAATGGCACTTTGTAAACAAATTATTATAGTCATCATTTATCTGGTAGTTACAATCATACCAAACTACATGAATAATAGTTTTGAATTTCAGGTTCTTCTTTTGTAGTAAAGCTGTAGGTATTCACTGCATTGATCAGATTGCACTCATTAAGGAATAGCCTAGGTCTCGACACTAACTCGATTTGGCCACAAATTTTACTCTGGAAATTCAAAATGTAAAAAAAAATGCAACCAGTTCCTTGTTGTATACAATTCCTAAATCTTGTGTTTGGCATCCTATGAGGATTCAAGGTCAATGTGGAGACATGGATGACATGTTTTTGATGATGATCTTTATTGTTTCATTGTATCTAGGTACTTTGTTCAGAAGAAGACATCTCAGAAGAAAGAACAGAAGACAATGGAATCATCATCTAAGGTGCAAACATTTCTCTCCTAAGATGATTCGTTTGCACTGAATCCATGTGGGGGTAGTCTTTAGAAGAACTTTTGGTTATTCTCTCATGGAAGGGAACCAGTTCTGGACTTTTTGGGTCTTCTTTCAAAGCTCTATCCAAAAGCCCCAAAATGGTCATCAGTTTAAACTATGACAAATAAACTTTAAATTGTTGAATGAATTTTGTTGATGGTTTTTATGAAATCAATCTTATTTTGTAATTTGATCTTGCAGACGAAATTGCAATAATATTTTTTTGGGGAAATTGGATATGTATTAAATAAAACATGTATTATATTTTCAAAGTAATATGCAGCTTTGATAGGTACATGAAACCAGAATGGATGCCCATTTTTCCACTGTTAGAAGTACATTCTACTCCAAAGCTCACCATATGTGAGTACCATGTTGTAAGCATATGTAAATATTGAGAATAAACTTTATATATGATAATAAACTATATATCTCTGAGAAGTTTTGTTTATATTTTCTCTTGACAGGCTATCAAGTCTGCAGAGAAAAAGACAATGCAAGCTTTGAAGGATGTAGCTACAGTAGCAAGTATCAACAAATCTCGGAAGACATATTGGTAAGATATCATTCAATGCTGATTTAAGGATGTGTAGTATTTTGTCCATGCTGTGCTTATCTTTAAAAAGAATGCTAAAAGAGATCAATACTGTATGTAGATTGCAATGATTAGTCAATGAGATGAAAATGTTAGATTACCCTAATTTTTGTTACACTCGTATGATTCCGTTATATGAATTCCAGTGTGTTATTTTTTATACATCGTCCTGTATGTTTGCTTATTTCATGTATAAATCATTATCATTGATAATTGTTTTCAATCCAATGAAATTTGATGATTTTGTCATTTATTTCAAGCAGTCACGTCATAAATTGAGTGTAATTAGTATTGCAAATGAAATGTTTTTGTTTTAACTGTCTGCCATTTAGTCTTTGAGGTACTATGTTTGTTGTGATAAATAAAAGGTAAATTCATTCACTTGTGATTTCCATTCTTTGTTTCCTGAGCAGGTTTGAGAAGTACTACTGGTGCATCAGCTCAGAGAATTACATCATCATTGCTGGACGAGACCAACAGCAGAATGAGATAGTTGTCAAGAAATATCTCTCTCCAGGTAAAGAACTGCTTCATCTGCAAATATTTAACCTTATATTTTGCCTTGATTGTTTATTTATGTATTTATACTTTTGATTCACTTGAATTTCTTACCATCAAGACAATTGAAGATCCCTTGAAATATGAAGGGAATTGTTGGAATGAAGATGAATGGTATGACAAGTTGTAATGCATGTCTGTCTGTGGTTAAATCTTTGGCATTCTATCTATCTTTGTCTCTTGCTCACTGTGTATCTTCTCTCTCTTTCTCTCCCTCTCTCTCTCTCTGTGCAGGTGACATCTATGTTCATGCTGACATTCATGGAGCTAGTAGTGTGATCATCAAAAATCCTAAAGGTGAGATTGTATACCAATTCAATCTATTACTGGCCGTATTTAGTATCGAGAACCTTACTAAATTATCATGAACCATACACTAAATGTAGGACAATGAATAGACACTTTATTGATACAAAATAGTTAATCTCATCACATGTGTTAATTTGTCAGGGTTAGAAAAGATCCCTCTGTATTTCTTATGATATATGTATATAAATTGATATATCAACTAGTAAATAGCTGTGCATATAATTAACTGTATATAAATAATCTAGTGTCCAATGTTTGTACATGCAAGAAGTATGTATCAAAGCAAATCTGATTGCCAGTCCAGTGGCAGCCAATGCTTACTGTATTTCAACTTCATAATTCTTTTCACAAAATGTTGTAATACAGAAAACCTCAAAGAAAAGATTATTTCATCTCGTGTTTATTTCGTCACAATACCTTCAATGATATTTCTTTAATCAAATTTTGTTTTGATGTTACTAGGAGGTCCTGTTCCTCCTAAGACCCTGCAAGAAGCAGGTACCATGGCCGTTTGTTACAGCGTTGCTTGGGATGCTAAGGTCATTACCAGTGCATGGTGGGTACGTCATGACCAGGTCTCTAAGACTGCACCCACTGGCGAGTTCCTTACCACTGGGAGCTTCATGGTCAGAGGTATGATGATGAGGTTTGCCTTCTTTTGCATAACTGAAAATTGCCACTCATGTACAACGGATAGAGAAGAAGCTCACTGCAGTGATTTGGGGACCGCTCATTTGTTCATTGAACCCACGCCATAATATTTGGATGTTCATGCTCTCAGCAACAGTGAACAATATATCAAAGCAAAATGCGATTGTGATTGCATCACTAGATATTTATTGAAAATGATCCTAGATATTTCAAACCCATGCATATTAATCTGACAATTGGATGGTATGTTGCTCTACACTTTTTGCAAGCTCTGTTTGATCCACTGCAAATGCTAGGGAGTGGGAGGTTTTAAGTGAACGTGATCAGGGATTTCATTCATAAACTTTGGCCTCTGATAGGAGGTTGATGATGTTATTTAATGAGAGGTCCTCTTGCCATGCCCTGTAGGTTAGCCCTCTTGACAATTTTCCATACTGTTGTGATTGCTCAATGTTAGTTGTTCCTTACTCCTACTAGATCATAACGCCTTTGTTAATGAACAGATTGTTCAAGAAAGTGATTTAAAGCTTTACCATGTTTTAAATGTGTGTTTTACTGCAATCAATACCTTCGAAGACCACTTCATGTTTTTTCCTTCTCTATTGCAGGTAAAAAGAACTTCCTTCCACCTACTCAACTTGTGATGGGTTTTGGATTCTTAATGAAGGTATGTCCAGATGCTCAGTAAGTTTGCAAACAGTGATGGCTTGTTTAAAATTGATTTGAATGATAATGTGACTGCTGGGAAAGTATTATATGCTTGCAGATAAACATAATGGGATCTCAATTCTGTAAGTCCTATCCAAGGGGCATGGTACTTGATGATTTAGTGCCTTGCTAAGGACTCACTGTTTGGATTATGCAAATTGGACATCCTTATTACAAGGCCGCACTGCTCTAGGCCACCATACATTTGTTTATCATAGGCAGGAGTTTCATTCCACATATGAACTAATAACATGTCTATTCCAATAAAAATAATAATCTCTATGATAATAGTCTCTTTAAAATCTGCTATTTTTAGCAAACATACTTAGTATTGGTATTGTTAGTGAGTGTATCAAGCTTTCTACACTTTCTGTCTTTTCTTGTCATTTGCTATGCATATCCTTTTGTCTGTCATGGCACATTTCAATAATGCTTATTTGGTTCCATGACACATGCTCCGCCGACGATTGCTCCGCCGACAAATGCTCCGCAAAAAGCGACAATTGCTCCGCGACATTTGCTCCGACGTCAAATGCTCCGACGTCAAATGCTCCGCCGACAGTTGCTCCGCCGACAATTGCTCCGCCGACATTTGCTCCGCCGACATTTGCTCCGCCGACAATTGCTCCGCCGACAATTGCTCCGCCGACATTTGCTCCGCCGATTTTTGCTCTGCCCCCAAAGTACCCCATTGAAGACAAATGCTCCCTTTTGCAGGGAAAAAAAAGATAGGAAGAAAGAAAAAGAAAAGAAAAGAAAAGGACAAGAAAACATGGAAAAGAAAAGGTCAAGAAAAGAGACAAGAAAAGGCTGAAGACAAGGGAAAAGGGACACAAAATAGAATATAGGAAGATTAATTACGGTAAATCTTGCCGGCGCTGCGTCGGGACACGTCGGAGAAAAACTAGAAATAAAATGGAGTATGAAATACACTACATGCTCGTGAAATAATCATAAGTGATTAAGGCAGATGGTTTTCAGTTATTATATGAAAAGGATGAAAATTCGCTTGCTCGCTACGCTTTATATGTTCGTAAATCGTAATACATTTTGTACATCAGTGATTAACAAGCGATGCTGGTCACGCAGATGCTTTTTAATATAAAATCGCAAGCCAAAGAATTTCGACCATTCGTTAACTAGCTCGCTCGCCAACAAGGAATAAACAATAAATCCTGGAATAATACTTGCCCATTTGATTCAAATTAAGGGGCGTAATGTAGACAAATTCTATTTAAGATAATAACCTATGATTTTCACCTTCCTTGTTCGCCAAATTAACAAATAATTATTTTTTTTTAAAACACACACCCTTAAAGCTACTATTTCCCTTTTGCAGCCAACATCAAATTATGTAGAAATTTGCAGGAATTATAAATATGTCATGTATGTCCTATCTGTGAAAGTTAAACGTTAGCAGTGTCCTAATATTCAAATTATGAAGGAAACCTGTTTATTTGCTAAGCTTTACTGATTAGACGCTATTGAGTGACAAACTGGCTCTTTTTCTTCTTTGGTAATAACATACATAAAATGAGCTGTAAAGGGTACATGAGCATTTTGTCAACATCAATAACCCACTTCTTGTAAGGGCCAAAATTAAAATGATTGAATCTTTGCGCAGCATAAAACATACGACCATTCGGTACAATGGTCTGAAAATCAGACTATTACTTACTGGCTCTATAGCCCTTAAGTCGATTCGACAACGAATAGTCGTTATTTCCCACTTAAAGACATTTTCAAGCCCCCCCCCCCCTTTTTTTTTTATTTTACGGAAGTTCTAAATTAGTATTTAATTTCAAATGCAGTTGGAATTTAACCTTTTCATTTTTTTTGGCCTGCAAATGGGACATAGTACCTTTAAATGTGTTTGTGCCCTCTCTTCCAAGGGTCAAGACGACACAGTTACTTATATCAAAAATATGCCTATAATTATTATCAAAAGAGAAGTGCAAAAGAACTCGCTCACATGCTACGCTAACTCGCGATTATAATTTGTAACATATTCATTTGACGAGTGTGCAGCTCCTAAACGTCAGACGAAGAATGGCGGAAGGCAGGTAGATGCTATTCAATATAAAATAAGCTTAAAACCGCCCGCTCGCTAAAAATAAAATTGACATCGACTTAACTATGAATGTACCCGACCCGTCCTGCAGCAAGAAAACACTGTTGGATACTCATTATTGTTGACAATAATTCATGGGTTAAACGTTCGCTGTTCAGTTTATGGTATAAACGTGCCCATTTAATCAAGGAGGGAAATTTAGCAGGAAGATGCTATTCAATATTATTGATAAGTCTACATTTTTAGCTCTCTCTCTCTCTCTCTCTCTCGCTATATACCATCGTTTACCAAAAGGGAATAAATATAACCTTAAATGATATAGTGCCCAAGAAAAATCACTATTTGTTGAAAGAAGGTCTACTAAAGGTTGAACACAGTTTATCTGTTACTTAAAAGTTTCTGCACCTGCTCCCCACCCCCTCCCCCCTCAAAAAGGGATTGCCTCTTTCGCAGAGGTTTATCACTTTTTTCCCATCGGTGTCATCTGATCGGGAAATTAAAACGCATCCCCCTTCTCAGAACGCTGGCTACGGCCCTGAATAACAGCAACAAAACAAATCACACAAAACAAAAAAATAACCCATAAAAGAAATATTTTCGGCGGAGCAAATGTCGGCGGAGCAAATGTCGGCGGAGCAATTGTCGGCGGAGCAAATGTCGGCGGAGCAATTGTCGGCGGAGCAAATGTCGGCGGAGCAAATGTCGGCGGAGCAATTGTCAGCGGAGCAAATGTCGGCGGAGCAAATGTCGGCGGAGCATTTGACGTCGGAGCAAATGTCGCGGAGCAAATGTCGCGGAGCAATTGTCGCTTATTGCGAAGCATTTGTCACCGGAGTAATCGTCGCCGGAGCATGTGTCGGGTTACCGCTTATTTCATGTTCATGTTTTATCTCCTATTTTCAAACTTTAGATTGATGAAAGCTGTGCATGGAGACACAAAGATGAGAGGAGAATACGAGGTACAGATGATGAGGATCTTTCTTCTGTAGCTGACACAGTAGAGGTAAGGTACAATAGTCCTCAATTATAACGAGTTTCACTAGTTAAGCCTGTCGTGAGGGATACCTGTAGATTCACTTTGAAAATTGTCTTAAGTATTTCTGTAATTTCTATATTTTGAATTTAATTGGTTTCGTATCTATCACAAAACAAAGCCTTTTGTCTAGCTACCATCTGAGTAAAATGAGCATAAACCCGATATCGAAAAAATTGCTGATACTCAAAATGAGTTCAAGATGAAGAGCTTTAATATGATCGCATTTAAAGGTATTCTTTTGAAGTGTTAATAACTTCTTCAATGAATGGAATGTATGGAATTTCCTGAATGTTTCTACAATGTAAGTTCTGGATATTTTCTTTGTGTCATTTGTTTTTATTTTACTTCTAATCTTTGTATCCCAGACTGATATAGTTGTTGAGGACATTGAGGAGGATGATGATGAGGATGGAAGCACTGAGGCAGACATACAAGAGGATGCTGAAACAGGTGTGTTCATGATGCTCTAAAGAATCTTGAAACAACAACATCATCATCGACAACACAACATGTTTCCAAAATTGCTTTAACCTAAAAGAGAAGATTATAATGTTGATGGATAATAATGAGATATGCAGGCCTTGTTACATGAAATATCTTGAGATTTTGTGGTTTTGTGGATAGACGTAAAAAGTTGTGTCAAAATGTTTTATGTATATATATATATATAGCATTTGTTGATGGATAAAACACATGAAAAGCTTGTTACACTTATTTTATAACTCGTGGTTGACATCATCTCTCTGTCTCTGTGTCTCTCTCTCTCTATGTCCCTCCCTCTCTATGTCCCTCCCTCCAACCCTCCATCCCACTCTTAAAGTGCATGATACATTTGTTTATTTAACTTTAAATCTTAGAGATCACACAAATTTCCCCCCTTAATTTTGAATGCATTTTAGATGAAACAGAAATCAAAGAGGAACAAGAAGATGAAGATGAAGAGGTTGGGAATAAGGAGGAGGAGGAGGTTGAGGAGGAGGTTGAGGAGCAGTCATCAGAGGTAAAGCAGGAGGTAGACGATGACAAGGAGAACTTCTACCCAGATACCACTATACAGCTGCATCATGTGCAGGGTGAAAGGTAAGGTTATATTGTGTATAGGTAAGAACAATGGAATCAAACAAAAATTGTTATTTTCAGTATCACCCTCGTCAAAATGTCACCAAGCTTTACTTTCCAGTGAAGCTTCTTCCTCAAATATTGATCTGGACATTTGTGTAGGAAAATACTTTGTGTATGATCATTTTTAATTGTTGAAACGGAACATTGTAATAAATCCTCTCTACATTCTTATTTGCAGAAGCATTTAGTAGGGATGAGCAAGTTTAATGAATTATGGTTATTATTAAAAGCATAATGGTACAATCAAGTAATCATTGCCTTCTGAACAAAAGTAAGAGCAGGAGTAAAACTACATCATTAATCTTTCAATTTATTGACATTTGAGCACTAGTTAACAAATCAGTTTGAATGGATGAATGGTATCACTATTTTCAGATATGAGAGCCAGCGTACCTGTGGATCTAGTGTGATGAGTGCTGGTAGTTACCAGTCTGGTGATGGGGATATAGATGAAGATGGAAAAGCTATCATCTATCTAGGGGATGATGTACCTATTGTTCTTGGAGGACCAAAGATTAAGCCTCAGGTATATCAAGTATACTCTCTCTCTCTCTCTCTCTCTCTCATTCTCTCTCTCTCTCATTCTCTCTCTCTCTCTCATTCTCTCTCTCTCATTCTCTCTCATTCTCTCTTCCCTCTGTATGTCTGTCTGTCTCTCTCCGTCTCTCTTTCGCACTCTATTTGACAAAAGCAACACAAAAGTAATAAAACATCATTATAAATATTTTAATTAAATATGTATTTACCCACATTTTTACAACAGTATTGAGCCTGGCTGAAAAAAAAGAATTTCTAGGCTTCTTTGGCCTAAGAAAAGGTATAATTGTGAATTTTATATGAGACTAAATGAAATACTCTTTTAGTAAAATATAATCACCATAATTGAAGAATATTTTTGATAACTATACACTTTTTTTTCAAATGAATGATGAGAGTTGTGAAAAAAAATAAAAATAATTGATAATTTTTCAAATGCAAAACCTTTTATCAAGATGATATGATGATGATGGTAATTTCTAATAAAATAATGCCAAAGTGTTTCTTACTTTCTATATTTACAGCATAAAGCAAATCCCAAATTGACTGCCAAGCAAAAGAGGTATGTACTTTCTTACTTGGACTACCACTCTTTTCCATTCTTTATATTCACCTGTTCACTATTTGTATATGACTATATTTAACATTTTATATTGTAATCAGTTTTTTTGTTTTGTAACACTTGAATAAAAACCAGCAACTGTATACGTGTATGTTTAACTCTTGACTGCTTAGTCAATTTTTGTTATGCGTACAGTGTATATTTACCATAATAATAATAATAGACCATTCATTAACCGGAGTGTTGGCTCAGTCAGTAGAGCGTCCGCCTCACAACCGGGAGGTCGTGGGTTCGAACCCCGGCCGCGTCATACCAAAAGATGTTAAAAGATGGGAGTTGTTGCTACCTTGTTTGGCGTTCAACAATAAGGGATAGAGCAACGTCGATCTGGCGCTGCTCAGTGGCTGCCGGGCTCACGATCAATTGGGCAAAAAGAATTTCCGTTTCGGTTTAATAAAATTTGGAGTGGACTATTAGGCTATTATTATTATTATTATTATTATCTATAGTGCAAATCACAAAAATAAATTTAAGTCCCTATGCGCTCAGAAAAATGAAAAGAAGGGATAATAGACATGAGGGAAGAGAAAAGAAAGAATAACTGTTTTGTCATAACATTGTACTAATTTAACAAACAAACAAATATGTGTATACTTCAAACGATGTGGCAGCCTGAGGTGTTGATAAATGGCAAGAAAGTAGTATGTGGTGATAATTAAAAGTAGTATTTGGTGTAAAATGGTGCAAATTGGAAACATTGCAGCTTGAAATCATTACAAGCACATGGCATATAAGATACTATGTGATCCCTTTTATTTCTGTCCTTAAATATTTAAAGAGACCTCAAGAAACAGAAGAAAAGAGAAGAGGGGCCTGCCCCCGACAGACCAGATGAAAGCACACCTGACACTGGTACGAGAGATGAGGAAGAGAATAGCCAGGAGGAAGGAGAGGAGAAGAATGAGAGGGTAGCAGAAGTGGAGGATGATGAAGAGGAAGAGGGAAAGACAGAAGAACAGAATACAGGAGCACCTTCCGTCTCGAGAAGTGTCTCACAATCCAGTAGTGTAAGTATTGACCTTTCCCCCCTCCAAACAAATTCATTTTTCTCCGGTCAGTTTTCGTAACATCCAACTGACTGATTTGGTAAGTTTGTTGTCGCACATACAAAATCTATAGGAGGTGATACTGGAAATAATGTAGCAGTCTAGGGGTATTGTTTCTGGTGAATAGAGAAAGAAGAGTTTTTAAAAAATTGCAACGTGTTAGTTAGGCCTGCTTCTCTTGTAAAGACTGATCAGATATGGTGCTAAATGAGCACATTTGCCTTTTTACTGGCTCTTAACTTTGGGGCTGTGACCTCCATTCATATGTTTGGGGGAGGGGGTGAGAGGGGGTAATGAATTGATCATATATGTATATGAAAAATATTCTATTTGAATTCATGTATTGCTGAATTACCTAGCATTAAAACACTAAATGTGGATTGTCAGATGGGACCTAAATAAATAAATAGAATCAATGCTTCAGCATGTGATATAGGTTTGGCTGTCTCTTTCGTAATATTTCACATGTAAATTATAATTATCTACTTTACTTTGCGCTTTAGAATACAACTACCGTGATTGTGTTACATTAATTGATGTTAGACATGTTTTATCCTGATTTTGTGTCTCATACTGATAGGAAAGTTTGTACCATGAGATTATCTTTTAATAAACATAATTGCTCTTTGTCTCCTTTGTAAAATACAGAATACAAACCTACCACCGGCCAAAAGAGGACAAAAGGTAATGGATTCAATTTAGTTACCTAATTATAGCGGATGTTTTTATGGTTGTGTTGAAATATGTCTAGTCACAATGGTCCTCGTAGTATATATGTTGTCCAGTATCCTTCAATTTACGTCCTTCCTTTCTCCAGTCCCTCTCTCTTTTACTCTCTCTCACACAGTCTGTCATTACCCCTTTCTCCCTCACTCTGACTCATGCCTATACACTGATAACTCATATTTACACTAATAGAAACAGTTTGTTATGTACATTGTCAGTCCACTACTTTAATTTCCTTTTCTCACTTCTTGTCTGTCATACACTTCCTAACGAACTTGTATGGAAGATTATAGCCTTGAACATTCGGTATAAGTTTTTTTCTTTTATTTGGAAAAAAATGTTTTTTTTATCCTTAACAGCAGCCTAACTAGAACTGAGGAATACTTGATTAGAAATCTTCATGTTATAATCTCTCTGTTTTAATTTCAGCACAAACAGAAGAAGATCAAACAGAAGTATAAAGATCAGGACGAGGAGGAGAGGAGGCTAAAGATGGAAATCTTGGCAGTAAGTACAATCAATCATACACTTTCTAATGGATGCTATGAATGGACCTGAATGTTATCCTGTGCTTATCATTGTAGATTGAAGATGGTGTATCTAATGTTAAGTGTTAGACTACAGAACATCTAAGAAGACGAAGGGTTATTACTCTGTCTGTGTGTATATCTCCGTCTTCTTATTTCTCTTAATTTGTTTGAATAAATACATCTCCCCTCTATCTCTATGTCTCTCTTTCTGTTTCCTACCCTCCCTCTCTTCTCCTTTCACCCCCCCCCCCTCTCTCTCTCTTTCTCTCTATTACTCGCCCTTCCTCTCCACCCCTGTCTTCACCACTTTCCACCTCTGCTCTGTCTATATATCTCTTTTTTTTCTATATCTCTATGTCTCTTTCCACATCTCTGTCTCTTTCTATGTCTCTGTCTCTCTTATTTTTCTCTACCACTCTCTCACCCTCTCTCACTCTCTCAGTCTGCAGGTAATTCTAAAGAGATCAAGGGGAAGAAAGGTAGGAAGGCCAAGCGACAAGAGGAACAACTCCAACAAGCGCATCAAAAACATTTACAAGCACAAAAAAAGAACTCAAAACAAAATGAACAACCAAAGCAACAAAGCAATAAAGACGGCCAGCAGAATCCACAAAAAAAGCGACAAGGCATGTCAGTTTTATCACAAGGAAGAACAGATGGTCAAGAGCAGGGTCAGAGGTTAGAGGTCACTGAAGAGGTTGAAGGAGATGGTACTGGGGTAGAAGCAGAGGAGGTCGTGGGAGGAGATGAACAAAAGGAGAATGCAGAACAGTCAGGTAAGAGACAGCTGTGGGTTGAAAGTATGATGTCATTGTGAAAAATGAAGTAATCAACAAAAGTGCAAAGCTGGTTGATGAGCAAATTATCATCTTCCATCAATATTAGTGAAACTTTTTGTGACATTTTGAGGGAGAATCATTGAAATGTGTGTATCAGACGGTCGGTCTTCAATATCTGATTAAGACTGTACAGTCAATTACACTGCACTAATATTAATGCAATTTCACAGTTGATTTTAGAAACCTTGTTTACAAAGCTGTTTATGCCATTGTCCCCAGTTTTTTTTAACAATAGTGGGAACTTAAGTTCCAGATAGTGAGATTATAAAATAATTTATGGGTATACAACTTCAGTGAACAGAAAAGGGGGAAATACAGCTAATTTGTTCTTTGTCAGCTTAATACTACGAATTTGCTTAAAATGCATCATTGCATCATTGTTTACTACCACACATAATTTTCCAGATTATAGGAAGGAAAACTGGCTACCAGTGCCCATCAAAATTTAAATATTTTCATAACCGGGGTGAAAATGTCAACAGTACAGTATGTGTGAGAGATCAGATATCTCAATCAAGTTATTCTGTGTTATAAAGTATGATTGTTTATTTTGATTTTCTGAAACAGAAGAATCATCTATCAAGCCTGTAATAAAGACACACACCTGGCAAGCTAAGAAAAAGAAAGAAACAACAGATGAACAAAACCAGGTATTTTCTTTATTTTTCCTTATCTTTTTCTCCTCCTCCTTTTTCTTCTCCTATTCCTCCTCCTTCTACTTATTCTTCTTCTTCTTTTTCTTCTTTCTCCTCCTTTCCTCTTCTTCTTCTTCTTCTCTCTCTTCTTCTTCTTCTTCTTCTTTCTCTTCTTTTTCTTCCTTCTTCTGCTTCTTCTTCTTCTTCTTTTTCTTTTTCTTCTTCTTCATCTTTGTCTTCTTCTTTTTATGTCCTTCATTCATTTAACCCCTCAATTACCACTAAATGTACACATAAGTAGCAAATAAAGAATGTCATGAGACAAGTTTTCAATCATATTGCTTTTCTTCATTATTCATCTTGATACAAACACTTTGATATTCATCTGTATTTACAATTTCTGAACCATGTTTGACATATTTTTGAACAAAGGCAAGCTTTTCTTTGTTCAAAATATTAGATACACTACCAGATCTTGGTCATATTTAAGTCCCCAAATGACAATGAAAGTATTGTAAACAGTCATTAGATAGAACGTAAGAAAAATGCAGAGAGAAAGGCAAAGGCAAACAGACAGACAGAGACAGACGGACAGCCAGAGAGCATAAGGATAGGAGTTTTAGAGTCAGGATGATAAAAAGTTTTGCAAAGAAAACACAACAGCAAACTCAACCAATGTTTTACTTATTTAACTCATGTAAATCAAGGTGATCTTCTTTGATTTGACTGGATCTGCTTAATGCTTATATTGTCATCCTATTATAAAGATTGATACAGTATTGACATTGTCTGTGTGTTTTCATTGGTATCCTCATTATCCAGCCCACAAATTAACAATTTGTTCATATATTTTGTTTTAATAGGAGGAGTCTGATGATGAGGTAGATGCAGCTGAAGCCAATTCAAAATTGATGGAGGTTAGATTTACAATCCTTTATTTGTTGATTTTTGTGTGTATTTCCCTTAGTAAAAGTTTTTGTCTAGGAAAATTCCTGACTTTTCCTTACCCTACTCCTAGCCCAATAGCAATGCCAGGTCTAACCTTATATCTTTAAGGAATTGAAGCCCTGAACAAAAGTTGATCTTAAAATTAATAAGATCTACATCTCAAATAGTCTTAAGTACCTTTGTAAAAGTTGACTGTTATATTCAGAGAACAAATGAAGAAGAAGAAAAAGTGGGCTAATAATGGCACATTAAAATAGAAATGATGACATAGTAGAAAATACAGAGGTTTAATTGATCAAGTTGTATTATTAATAATGATAAATGTTCTACCGTACTTATATTTTTTAGGAGAGTGTATCTGTTTTAGACACTTTGACTGGCTGTCCTGATCCTGAAGACCTCCTACTGTTTGCAATACCAGTGTGTGCCCCTTACAATGTCATGAACAGCTACAAGTAAGTTAATGAAAATCTTCTTCTACATAATCCCAGTATCTAAGTACCTCTGTGTTCACAGCTTTTCAAGCAGAACATTTGTGTATTTAGTGAAATTAGCTGAAATTAGGATAGGTTTTTTTCCTTCTCATCTGCTTCAAACCCTGAATCTACTTTTTATATGCACAATTGGAATAAATTGTTTCAGAGAAAGTCATTTGGGATTGGTATTTCCGTGTATATTTCACTGTTTCTAATGAATGAAATATGACATGTGTTCTACAAATGTTTGCTGCAATTGTTGAATTTGAAATGTGAAAGAGTTTAGCTCTTGTAGAGACATAATATTGTTTGTGTTTTGTGATCCATTTCACACAGATTCAAAGTCAAGCTTACTCCTGGAACAGGCAAGAAAGGAAAAGGTACTTAAATTATGAAATTAATCCTTAAACTTTACTATATTGATGTAAAAACTAGTGTTATATCATTATGGTTTTATATCACAGAAACGAATCAGTGCTATTTAAGATATTTAATGGTCAAAATTGTTCATAAACACAATGGAAGATCCTGAAATTATTCTGTTTGAGAGGGAGGGTTTAAAAATCCTTAAACTTTACTTTATTGATGTAAAAACCTGTGTTATATAATAATAATAATGATAATATTAGATATTTATATAGCGCACATATCCACAATGCATGGTGCTCAAAGCGCTCCAACTATCACCCCAGCTCTGCTAGGCAGCCGATTTCGTTATGGTTATAGTACAGAAATGAATCAGTGCTGATTAAGATTGCTATTTAATGGTCAAAATCGTTCATAAACACAATAGAAGATCCTGAAATTATTTGTTTGGTAGGGAGGGGATAAAAAATGCTTGGGCAAAGGTTTAAGAACGATCACATTCCCAACGAAAATCATGATAGAAGCATTTCTACATTCTATTTTATATGGCAGAGTCATTCAAGGATGATCAATTTATTTACTATTCAGCTGCATGTATCATGGAACGTTTGTCATACTTAATATGTGGCTGTTTCTTATACTCCTCAACAGCTGCTAAGACTACCCTCAATATGTTTCAACACTCCAAGGAAACAACTCCAAGGGAGAAAGACCTTTTCAAAGGAGTCAAGGTTTGTATTCCTAATTAAACATTCCACATTCACTTGTCAAGTTTTAAGAATGTTAAAATGTACACATCATATCATGGATGTAATATACATTGGATGAAATGTAAAAAATTTGTCTACAAGATATCCCAGTCATTTACAGGACATAGTGTGTATATCATATCATTTGTAGATCTCACATTGTAATCAAGTTGTAATCAATATGTATAACTTCAGTTTGCTATATATTCAATTTGGTTTTATGTTTTTGTTTTTCTCTTTCTTTTTCTATTTTTACAGGATGCAGATCTATCAAGGAATATACCAGGAAAGGTCAAGCTGTCAGCACCGAATCGCAATCAAAAGAAGAAGAAGAAATGATGAGGAATAATGCATAGATAAACTGTACATGGTCTTCCTTGTATTTTAATGATGTCAACCCTATGTTCAGAACTAATTGATACCAGATATGCGTATGTTTATATTACAGTGCATTGGATATGGTTGCAACCCAAGACTGTTAATATCGTAATTTATACTCCTCAGGGAGTGGCGCATGTTCACTATTATGTGCGTATTAGCAATTGAATCCAATGACGGGGGTAATAATATTTACAAGGTTTAAGCACTTTAAAACATTGTATTAAGTGCTATACAAATGTGACTATCATTATTATTATTATTATACTGATCTCACTATTACTGATGCGCATGTGTTCATCACCTCACTAAGTTTGCTTTAGTCAACCAAACTGACCCTAAACCTTCTTAAAAACAAGGGATTTGTACCGTAAGGGTAATGTCATTCTGTGTCAGGTCTATTGAGGGTCTGGTGTTGATCTTGTCATCATGACTGGGATGTTGGGATGTAGTAGTTCAAGTTGTAAATCCAATCATTTTGTTGTTAGCTGATCTGCTTTGATCAATGAAGCATTCTGTGGAAAAGGTTCAAACAATAAAGTTGGATATCATTGTCCTTACAAAAGTACTGCTGGTACCACTCACCCACTTTTACCATGTTCAAAGACAATGATAGTAAGTTTTGAAGCATCAGTGTGTTTCTTGGTGGAGTGGGTTTTCATTGATGTCAATTGGTATGTGTTGGACTGATCTGGAGAGACAGTCTGCCTACTCAAAATTCACTAAACAATTATATGAAATGGGATGGAGTACAAATCACAAGAAGGCAGTTAAAAACCTACTCCATCTCAAAGTAGGCTAGAGTTTCAGTACTTATTCTCTATTATCTTGTAACTTTCTAAAAGTGGGCAAGTGGTGTCAGTTTAATTCAGATGTAGATCACTTAGAGTTTAAAAACACAACAGACACTTTGTGAGAAAGATGTGATTTTTTTAAAGACCTCAATCACTGGTGAATTTACTGAATAAGCAGCATTGCATGGTCAGATAAGCATTCTATACAATAAACCTGAAATTGTACTACCGGTACTTAAGAATTTTAAAAGATCTTGGAATAATTTTTGTTTTGCATTATAATGTTAATTCAAATGCGTGATATATCAATAATGTTGGCCGCTCAATGCATATGTCTTTAAAAGCTATATTTCCGTTACCTTTGTTTATAACATGACAAGTGGCCACATATGGCATACTATAGTTGCCAATTTGATATGCCATGATTAGTGGGTACTTAAACTGTAACTGCATTATCATTTATCCAAACAGGATTGAATACTAAAAGCAATCACTGGAGCACTGTTTAGCATTATAAGCAATGGTCAATAAATATATTTATTTTAAGAATGAAAGTTTAAAGAATATAAACATTTTGTATTTTGATGATTGAAACTGAACTTGATCGACAGGAAAGTACCATATCAATTATTGTCATTAAGATTTTGGCATAATCATGGATGCAACTCATAGTTACCCATGTACCTTGTTCAATTTTTATTATACAGACATACTTTAAATGTGTATTAAATGAATAGATGTTATTATGTGTACAGTATGAAATGTAATGTTATCTATGAGATATTTACATTTCAATAAAAGTCATTTTTCATTTTCGGTTTGTGGGGACCCATGATTCTTTAAACTTATTTCAGTTGCAATACCTTTGTCACTCTAAGCTTTGATTTCCCTGAAAAGCTTTAACATTTAGACCAGGATACCAGTATTTTGTGGATTATAACTGGCCAAGTTTGAATTCAAAACCAAGTGTATTCAACTTGACATAGTAAAACAAAGGGGTAAACCAGACAATGTTTATAGTGCTATGTAAAATTGTCAAATAAATCATGCTATTATTAAAAATTAATCATTATATTTTGTAATTTTTCTTTTTACTTTGTTTCATTTGTAATGATAAGTCTTTTTTATACATTTTTAATGTAAATTTCTATGGGAAAACTGTCATTTTTATACTCCCCCAAAAAGGAAAGAATAATGGAATAAACTTGTGCAAAAAGTCTCCCTTTTCATAAAAAAAGGGAATATATGATAGAATAATCCAAATTCGTTCAAAAAATGATTTTAGGATGGTACTTCTAAACCTTCAGATTTATTCAAGAATACAATTAAAACACATCAAGTACAAATACATGTATATAGACATTTACAATGTATGATTTTAAAAAATATGAATGAGCAGAAATTGAATTATTGGAGAATTGGAACATAAAGGCAAGTAGGCAACGATCCTATTATTATACAATGGGACACAATGTATGGGCCTATGTAACCCATCTATACTGAGTTGAATCTTTTACAGTGATCGACTCGATTGAATAGGATGATGGGTGTGTCAGGGTGTGTGAATGTGTATTTGTGTCTATGTGGAAGGGGGGTATATTGTATTTGTAAAAATAATTATTGAACAAAGAGATATAGTCAATTCATCTACTTGCAAGGAGAAATAAGTTTAAGGACGTGGTATTGGAAAATGAATTGATCGAGAAGAGAGTGAGCTATAGATTGTGAGGTTTTAGGAATATACTAAAGTAATAGAGATGACAATCTAAAAACGACCCAAAAACATAACTACTGAAAGACCTACATATCAGTTGTACACTGATTCCAATAACATTTGAATTGAAAATATGCACAACCTTTTTTCTGTTTGATTTTCTTTCTTTTCATCTTTTTTTTGCTCATGGCTTCTTCCCCTAACCCCTATGCATATCACAAAGTGAAAATGTATAGTTAGCCTTTTGTCATGCCTGTCAAATATTTACGAGTTCTTCCTGACATAGCCAAATAATAGTCTACACAATATTTTCTAGTTTTGTTTCATGGAGATAATTGAATATCACGAACTAGATTGTTTCTACAATTTTAAATATAAACTACTTGATTATATTTATATGATACTTTCATACATGTTCAATAAAGGTGTAATGAGGCTGAATTGTAAGACAACACTAATTGTCAATATGGCCGCCTCCAGCTCCATGGAAAAGTCGACGATAGACCAAAACGAAGTGGTGTCGTCGAGTAGCGATGATGTGGAAACAAATCGATGTCTAAATGCAGGTGAAGTATCATCAAGCGATACTGGTGGGCTTTCCAGAATGGCTGATGACACATCGATTGAAGTTTTAGCATCAAGTACTGCAGAAAGATCAAGCACTGCAGCCACCGAATCTTCCCAGAACTTTGTGCCGAAAGGAGCGGGTTGCGTGTCCAGCACGGATGCCCCCATACCTGCTGAAACCTGCGACCGCTACCACAGTGAAGATTCCACAAAGAGTGAGAAAGATGATGCAAGTAAAAGGAAAGGTGGACAAGGAGCAGATTCATCAAGTTCTTGTGATCAAGCAATGACAAAAAACGAACCAAGGTTTAAATTGCCAGGTATAAACTTGAGTTCCACAAAACAAGGACAAAAAAGTTCCAGCAATCATGAAACTGCATCAACAAGCTCAGGTTTTGCAGTTCCATCATCAGTTGAAAGACCTAAAAAGGGTACAATTGCATTTGCCTTGCCCAAGACTCTTCCAAAATCAAAACACGGTTCTTTCCAAGGAAGTGAAGCAGCTCAGTCGAAACAGGAAGAGAAAGATAAAAGTTCTGATGTTTCAAAGAGGCTTGATAAGAAATCAGAAGAAAACGAAAAGGCAGCTGCGAATGCGCCTCCTCTTCCATATAAAGAACCATCATGGAGTGGTGTTCCTAGCCAAGAGTATCACCTTGAAGTACTGAAGAATGGATCCATTCTCTCCAAAGTTGCATTGAATGACAAACCCTACCATGTGTTTGGACGATTAGCATCTTGTGATTTTCAGATGGACCACCCTTCCTTATCACGTTACCACATGGTCCTTCAATATAGACCTACAGGAGATGGCGAGCATGATCCAGGCTTTTATGTCTTTGATCTTGGAAGCACCCATGGGTCTTTCCTCAACAAACAGCAGTTAAAGGCTAAAGCCTTTTACAGAATGAATGTGGGACATATGTTCAAACTTGGAGGAAGTACAAGACTCTTTATCCTACAGGTAGATTGAAAATCATCTCATCTCGTGCAGTAGAAGCCAAGCTCTTTTCATTCAATTTTGTTTATTTATTTATTTGTATTTATTCATAATTGTTGTTATTTGTGATTATTATTTATTGTTATTTATATTTTTTAGGGGAAGGGGGTTATGTACCTTCTGAGTAAATGTCCATTTGTAGTTTGATACATCACTCTTAAACATCCTCATCTACAAGTAAAACTGACCTCAAAGTTTTGTTGTATTGACTTGGCCTCAAAAGTAAAATATTGCTGTAGACTATTCCCAAGTTGGCCAAGTGGAGATTTACTTTAAATGGGTAATTTTATGCGATGTGCCTTGTACAGCATACAACTTTTTTTCTATCGAATGTACTGTGTTAAAATATATAAGCGGAATACCATGTAGTGTAATCTAAACCCCACAATTATTATACCCCAGATTTAGGGAAATGTATTTATATTTTGTTTCATAGAATCTGAACTTGCAGCCTAGGGCTTAGAAGTAATGGATTCTAGTCTTGTTATTTTTGTGTGATTTAATCATCACCTCTTATGATGTTTATTCAAATGTAATGGCAGGGACCGTCTGGTGAACAAGAGGAAGAATCTGACATGACCATTACAGAGCTGAAGGAACTCAGACAAAAACAGATGATGCAGATGGAAGAGAAGAAGAAGAGAAAAGCAGAGAAAGAGATGGCAGCTATGAAAGCTCAAGAAAAGAAATCAGAAGGCATCGATTGGGGTGAGATTTATAAACAAACATAAAACCATGCAGAGTTGCAGACAGCAGAACAAGTTTGAAATAAGTGATTTTACAAGGATGTATACTAAATAAATTGATGCTATTCAGCTATTGAATATAAATGAGGTACACAGACGCAACAATTCATTTGAATATCATTTACTACATTGCTTGTTTTGAATGAAGATTTTCTAGCATTTGACTAGAGCTGCATATGAGCAACGAATCATGACTTGACATGTTTAATTTTTCAATACTATTCTATGTAGGTATTTTCATCTACAAATGCTCCTTTGAGTTTTGACTGTGACAAAAGTATAAGTATGGTTATAATGTATAATCTTATTGGTTTTTATCTTGAAAGATCTATATCATAGATTCACATGAAGCAGTAAGAAGCAAGTTGGAGATGTAGTGAAGGGCACTTGTATTGATTTGATAGTTTTCAACCACCCTTTCTATCCACACATTTTGATTGTTAATACTAGGTATGGGTGGTGATGAAGAGGAGGAAGAGTCTGATGAAGAGAATCCCTTTGCTTCGATGGAAACCCAGGAAGACAGAGAGGCTGCTTACATCAAGGATCCCAAGAAAACACTCAGAGGATTCTTTGAGAGAGAAGGTTTGTTTGCTTGTTTTAATTCAACATGGTGATTAATAATCCTGCTTTTAGCCACAAGCCCGTTTTTCAGCAAGTTTGTATACAAAAGAAGACAACATTCCCCAAAATATCAGCAATAGTAATTACAATTTATTTACATAGAATAAATGCAAATTACAAAAATACAAATTATACAATTTAAAGAAAAAAACAGATAGTAGAGATAATAGAGATAGTAGGGAAAATAGAAGAATCAGACAAACAGGGTTAATGAGCGAAAAGTATCGTGGTCGAAATCTCTGTAATTATTTTTGTGCTTGTTTTACAGAATTAGATAGATTAAAAGAATATTATCAAAGATGTAATCTGTCCGTTGTTAAATAATTCAAATTTCAGCTACATGTATTTCCATTTTACCTGTCAATGTTTGAAAGAACCATTTATACCAACCATTTTTAATTTCTTCTTTTGTTTTCCTTTTTGTCTGTATAGATGTTGAGTTAGAATATGAAGTGGATGAGAAAGGGAGTGGTTTCGACCATCAGTATGTTTGCAGAGTACAGTAAGTCACCTGATATTACAGTTCATTGTCTCTTCTTATTTTTGACGTCTGGTTGTGACTTATAGATAATGTACCCCAAAAACCTCTAAATTCCTTGCAGTTTGTTTCAAATATAATCAATCAACTATCGCGGTTCAAGAACCTTGTGAAAAGTTGCAATTTATCTTGTCCCATTAGTGAATGATTCAATGGAAGAGCTCTACCTACATATCCAGATATTAATAATAATGTCATTCCATTTATATGTAGCGCATATCAAAAATCAATTGTCTCTATGTGCTTCCGAAGTGATTTTAAAATGATCATTCCAACTGATAAATGTTGAACATGTTACCTTCTCGGTTGTCTGTGTTTCAAGCATTGCCTAAAAAGAAAAGTTTTCTTCTTGTACTTGACGCTTCCCAAGATGTTGTAATTCTCAACTCTGTTTTAGTATATAATTCATGTCAAAAATCACATCAAAGTCTCTATGCTTCCCAAATTCTTTTTGAGATTCCATTCCCAACTGATAAATTTGAACGTTTTGATCATAGGCTGCCTCTGGATGATCAAGTAGGGCTTCCCATCTACGCAGAAGCATCGGTCTCAGGCAAGAAGAAGGAGGCAGTCATAGCCTGTGCCTTGGAAGCTTGTCGTATTCTGGATGCTCATGGGGTTCTTAGACAGGCAACCCATGGTAGGATATCACATCTACAAGAAATTTTTGTTTTGTTAATTTCTAATCATTAAAACTTACCGGCATCTGAGCTGATGGTAAATGAGATGGCACTTCAAGTAAAACTGTCTTAAATAAATACTGATTTGTTAATCATGCAGTAAATATGTTTTTCGAACCAACAAACTAGGCTTTGTGAATAAATATTTTCTGTCTTTCATTTTAGTTTCTGTATGATAGGTACATGTCAACGTATAAATTGTGTATGTATGATGAAACGTCCTGAATGTATTTCTTCATAAATTTGAGAGCATAGAACTGTTTGCATTGAAAAACTACAGAAAGTAAGAAGAGGAAAGCCAAAGACTGGGCTCAGGATGACTACTATGACAGTGATGATGATACGTTCCTGGACAGAACTGGAGCCATTGAGCAGAAGAGGAAACAACGCATGAAGAAAGCTGGACTCCTTCAAGAGAAGGCTCAGACATATGACTCTTTGGTAGGTGGTGGCATGATGATGGATACATATGTCAGATATTACAAATCTTACAGATGCTCTTTTCTTTTCAAATGGAAGTTGTAAATCTATTTAATAACTTTTAAAGTCTTAAAAGGCTCTTGATGTGGAAACTGTTGTGCACTAGTGAAACCCAATGCCTTTGTAACTGCAAGTGCCAAAGCCTGATCCTATTTATGACATGTGTCTAAAATTTCTAAAATTTATCAACAATTATATTATGAAACATCTAGAATTATAACTTGTGTTTTGCATAAATTTGCTGTAATTTTAATATATGACCGTGGGTAGGCTCTTTCCATTGATGGCTAAGTAGCATTTTTTCAATTTCACAGTTCAGGCAGAGTATGATTAATTACAGAAATGTTGATGTTATGATCAAACCTGCATTGAGATCTAAATACCTACTATCATACATCAAATTTTACTCCTTCTGTGGTACGGTATATTTATTATTAAGAATGAAAATAATTTCACAGTTTTGTATATTCTATCATCTAGCTTGCAAAGCTTGCAGAAGTTGATGCTGAGCTTGCAGAAACAGAAAAGAAACTTGAAGAAGCCAAGAAAGGTAATATGGTGATAAAGGAATTGCAACGTTTTGTTGTAACATTGGATCCATGTTGAGAAACCACTCGGGACTCAATGAACAAAAAAAGACATTTTGTACATACAGTGTCTGGATTCTAGCACTGTATTGTTGTTAAATTTATCAACAATATTGCTCTCTATACCACATTGTATTTGTTTTCTTACAGCATCAGCTGTACCGTAAATGATATTGATATTCGGTCCTTGTATAGCGCATATCATGTTATTCCATCTCTTAGTGATTCCACAGAGCTTTAGAAATTAGTCTGAAGAAGAAAAAAAATCATGAATCTGATTGATAAAAAAAACAACCCAGGAATACCATAGGAAGGTTAAAACAAATGTGTTAACAAATTTATTTAGATTTCATGTCCAAAGGTTGACCTTTCAACATGGGTCTTTCAAAGCTTCTGCTACTTTTGGCCATACTTAAAGAAACATTGACAGTTGAAATGCTTTACCGCCTATATCAGAAGACAGGGTTCTGAAACACTATTTTATCTGATTTGTTGTTTAATTTTAGATTTTGGCATTGATTACTTCCAGATTCTGTGGAATTATTCTGAATTTTCCTTTTATTTTCTCTGCAGTTCAACCAAAGTCCGGAGAATCAGACAGCCTGGATGATTTCATTGCTAGTCTGAAAGCTGGGGGCAGTTCACATGACAGGGCTCAGAGGGCCAAACTTAAGTTCAAGGTGGTGGACCTTAGGAAGGAACAGTTCAGACTACAGAAGCTAGTCCAGGTGGCCAGACCTACGCATATTCCAGAGCCTCCCAGGTATGTGTAGGGTTTAGAGGTCATGTTTCTTGAAATTCTATTTTGACATCTTGAATTTTCCTTAGTACTGTACCGTGTGAGTCAAAAAAAAGTTTACACCTAGAAAATTGCTAATTATTTTAAAATTCATCTAGGAACAGTAAATTATTATACATCTTATGAAAGTGTGTTTTATTCCAAATCATTTGGTATCATTTTTGTGTTGTATGTGTTCACGCTTGGATGAACATGAGGCATTGTTTGCGAGAGTGCAAAAATCGACTTGCGCCAAAGTGATGCGTACAGTATGTATTGTGTTGGGATTAATGGAGTGAGAGAATGAATTAAATGCATCAAATGAAATGCATTGCATATGCTTTGTGCAAAGGGCAAAGTCACACCACCCACACACACGCGCACAAATGTTCGTTGATATTTGATATTCGATATTTGATATGTGTTGCATGATTAATTTTGTTAAGGATGTTATTTGGAACTGCAAAGACCGAATTAATACCCAAATCCAAATTGTTTCATTCAAACATCACATAAGCAACTTTGGCGCAAGTCGATTTTGGCACTCTCGCAAACAATGCCTTGTGTTCATCCAAGCGTGAACACATACCACACAAACATGGTACCAAATGATTTGGGATAAAACACTCTTTCATAAGATGTATAATAATTTACTGTTCACAGATGATTTTTAAAATAATAAGCAATTGTCTAGGTGTAAACATTTTTTTGACTCACTCTGTATATCATCAAGCATCAGGAACACTGTAAAAACTTGAATGAAAGTAAAGTGTTTTTTTCAAGGTAAAAACTAACTTGGTAGATACCGGTACATATTTTCCTCTATGATTGTACTGATCAAACACAATGATTATTGTAATCGAAAACCTCTCTTTCTGCCAAATAGTATTTGAACTCTACATTCAGTCACACTGACATGTTCTGGTCAAATAAAATGTCTGTCCTCTAAAATGCACAATGCTTTCTCCAATCATCCCTCTAGTATCCTCGGTTTACAATTCTTTCGTCACCGACTATTTTCCAGGACTGCGATTGGTCAAATTTAGTCAGCGCTGACTAAATTGTTGGTGAACATGATATTAGTCGTGAAAACCACCGACTAATTGTTTCATGAAACGCCCCCCAGCTAGTGTTTTACAAGCTTCAACAATACTGAGGGATCCATTTATAAAATCATGTAGCATTATTACTCCTCTCAATGGCCAAGGAAAACAGTTTTTGATGAAAGACATCTTTCAAATGTCAATAATCAAGATGTACTCTTGGTTTTAGATAAGCATAACTTGAATTTATGCATGTTCATCTCTTGAATGCATGAGATGCTTTAGAAATATTTTTTTCTTCTAGAACTTACTTCTTTATCAGTTCACATTGTTATCCCTTCATCTGTGCTTTTATTTTCAGGTTGAAATCCCTTCCTAAAGGCAAGGCTCTACCCATGACTGGTTCCATGAAATCCAAATCAAACTTCAAAGATAGATTCCAACCAAAGGTAGGTACAGATCATTGGATCTTATGCTAGTGGTAGTCCATCTTTGCTGTAAGTCCTCTGGTTGCATATCTCCAAGCAGAAAATTCCTTCCCTATCATTAGAATATAGAACATTGTCAAATGTATTATTTGTTGTATTTTTAGGTTATTCAGTTTGTGAATTTATGGTAAATTGAGAAAAAAGATGTATTGAACTGTGATTCTTTGTTGCCAAGTAACCCAGAATAAAAGATGATCAATGAAATTCCTGCTGGGCTCTTGTAAGTATGTTCATTTTAAATTTTAAATGCGTTGAAGATATGGTTTCTCTACATCCCTATTGAATTGCATGCAGAATATGAATTTTTGTTTTTCTTTAAGAAAATTAACAAAGTCATATTGAGTGTCATACTCTGGAGTACCATGGTGAAGAAATCAGTATTGAAAGTCAAGCATTATCATCCCCAGTGAAGACATTTATCCAGATTATTGTGAAATGGGGTTAGTTATTTGGTATTCCTATTTGATCTGAAATCAACAATGCCCGATCACTTATATTTCAGCTAGAGTCCCTCCTTGTCTATATGATTTGTATGTAATTTGTAATATTTGTTATATTCATAAACATTGCACATATTGTTTATCCCTCTTTCTCTCTCTCTCCCTCTCTCTCCCTCTCTCTCCCTCTCTCTCTCTTTCTCTATCTCTTTCTCTATCTCAAAGATTCAAATAAACGCTTTCAAGTTAAAGAAGGAAACAGAAGAAGAGGTGGAAGAAGAAGAGGAGGAGGATGAAAATGAAGGTAAATAGCACATAATACGTAGTAAAATGGTAGATGTAAACCACATCAAGAAAAGAAAAACAAAATACCCAATGGAAAAAACCCAACCTATTTCATTATTACAGAGTCTATTGCATGATAATACATTTCTGTTTTTCATGTTTGCATAACTAAATCAACAGATAATTTATGTGTGTTATTAGAGGAAAGAGTGATTCTCCAACGTAACACATGGTTTCAAAACATTACAACTGTTACCAATCATTCATTGTTTTAGAGTTGAATATTGATATCTCTACCTGGGATAAGTGAATATTCATATATCCCTACCTGCATCATTTTTCATTAATAGACAAGAGTGTATTGGATTAGCAGGTACTTTTTGATAAACTTGTTCTGTGATGTAACATGATAGAATGTAAAAATATATGCTCATTAAACTTTGCTCTTTTTTTCTTCCTTTTTTGATTTCTTGTTAGATGCTGGTGATAATGAAGATACAGAAATCAGGAGTCAGAGTACACATGCAAAACAGGTGGGTTTTCTCTTCAAGAATTGACTTTGCCAATATCTATTATAACCTCAAAGTTTCTAAACTGGTAGTCTTTGTACCTCTTCACTGTTAATACCTATTATAATGTATATCAGCCATAGCTTTTTCAAACTGACAATTTGAATATGACACCAGTTGTGGGTTCACCAGTGAGGGGGCATGGAGGTCCAGCTACAGCACACTGATATAGAACATGCTCAACAGTCTGAATTTAACAACAGTCTGAAATTGGCCCGCACCTGACCGAAAACCGTTCAGTTGAGCCCAGGGCTTCCTGTGAAGGCTGATGCCAGGATGGTGAGAGGACCAAGCTTGAAGACACGGTTTCAGCATCTCAAGGACAGTTGGTTCTGTAGCACCATCTACCTCAAGGTTCTTAACATATAGGTGTAGAGGCCTCCTTGAGGACAGTCTGCACAAAGAGGAGTTAATGCAGGTGGTCCAACCGAGCAGCTTTGTGATAAAGCCATCTGCAGATGTTATCCTGATACACATGTGGAGATATTTGCTTGTATTGTCCTGCAAAGTTCTGTGTCTTTAATTTCTATTCTCTTTGTTTTATCAGGTTCTTCATGCAGGAGAGTGTGGGAGTCGTGAGATTGAAGCATTGAAGAGGATAGAGGGTGAAGCTCCACCACCTCAGCACCAGAGAGTATATGGAGTAGCAATGCCTCCTCCTCCATCATCATCCAAGAAGATGGATACATCACCGATTGCCATGGAGAAGGAAGATGCTTCCCTCCCTCCATCTTCCTCCCCACCCAAACGAGTGTATGGTGTAGCCATGCCCCCTGCCATTCCTAAGGAGCAGTCCATAGATGCTATGGAGGAGGAAGAGGAGGGTGTGGTTCCAGTGAAATCTAAGAAGATGTACGGTCCGGCTATGCCCCCACCAAGTATGCAGAATACAACAGGTATTGATAAAGGATCTGTTGGGGATTCCCCCTCTGCTTTCAACAGTTTCCATTTGACATGGTATTGTAGTGAATGTCCATGGATAAGGGGAAAATTTCTTGCAAAGTGTAATCATCATTCAGAAGCATATTAGTGCCCTGAATTATTTGATGAATAGCAGGAAATGTTTAAAGTTTAAAAGCTTTTTGTAATATATTACTGCACATGAAAGTACTTTGCCAAAACAGAAATTATGAACTTGGTTAGAAAAAAGTATAAATTCATTGATTACATTTGATTGATTAATATAGTTTTCCTATGTAAAGCTTCATCTGTTCATGAAATAAATATGTCAGATCTAGGCCAACCAGCCATATGCATTCTTGTAATGTGTGTTTATGATTTATGTACTGTTTCTGACTTCTCATTATTATTCTTGTGTACGCATAGCCCACGCAAAGTGTTAAATAAAGATTGAACAATTGCCATTCCCATTTGTAGGAAAAAGACTGGTAAAAGGTCCCTCTCGCGGTCCCTCTCAAGGGCCAAGCAAGGCAGGGTTCAAAGGAGATGGGTCAAGTCACCAGTCTGTAGGAGGTATGCTGGCATCATTAAGGGATAATGAAGGAGAGAAGATGGAAGAGAGTGAGGATTACACGGATTGGCAGCCTCCTACAGGTACGTAGATTAAGATCATCCTACCTCGGATTCAACTTTTTAAAAAATCTGAACATGTTTCCTTGTTGATGAAAATGGAAGCAATATCATCCAATTGAAAATATAAATAATTTTAAGACAGCATTGAAGTGTTTCATTCTGATCTGTCAAAAAGTTGATTATGATTTAATTAGGGTGAAGGGTTGAATAAAGTGTTGGGAGCTTGAAAAATTTGATGGCAAAATTTCACTTAAATTGCATCATGATGCGAAAGAGAATGTCATTTGAGGCACATTTCTGCAATTTGTCTTTTGTAGAAACATAATCATCAAGTAGGGTACTTTACACAAACATTTAGGCTTACTAGAAATGAATGGTTTATAGCCGTTTAGTCTGAAACCGATTCGTCTACTTCCCAGTTGGTCTATTCCCAAGTGGTCTACACCAGGTTGTCTACTATCCACATGGTTAAAACATATCGAATTTGGACCAAATGACTACCGGTATTAGCCTAAATGGTCATTAGACCACATGGTAAGTAGACAAAAATATTATTAGACCATGTGAATAGTAGGTGGGCTGGGGGTAGACCATATGGGAATAGACTACTTGGGTAGTAGACAAACTGGTTGTAGCCCAAACGGAAATTCACCAAATGAACAACCTGCTTTGAGAATGTATAATTGGACTTTCTTTTTATTTGAGTGAATGTAGTAGACCATCACTAGGCAGTCAAGTATAAAGCTTCTTTAATTTGTTATTATGTTTTACAATGGGATTATTGCTAGACAAAATTCTTTAGATATGTATGTGTTTAAGGAATAAATTGATAGTCTTTTGGTTTGATGTATGTGATTATGAACATTTGTATATACCTCTGCTTTCTTTTCTTTATCCCCATCTTTCCCCCCAGATCAAAAAGGAGATGGACGCACCTCGCTGAATGAAAAACTAGGGTATTGAGCATCAAGAATATAGAAAGAACATTGTAACTTGACATGAAGGAGTTAATGAATAATAGTGATTCATCCTCTAGAAGTATTGTAGTTGAGTGTTATATACTCTTGAATGGATTTGCAAAGTTCATGGGTCATAAACCCTGGCATGGCACTTAGTAAGACATTTAATCACTTTTGTTGCTCTCCACCCAGGTTTAGTATTTGGGTACCTGTTAAGGAGAAAGTATTTGGGTACCTGTTAGGGAGAAAGTATTTGAATGCTTTGAACTCCAATATTGGCAGCCTTGCTGAAGCTGAAGCCAGGGTAACATTTTGGAGTGCCTTAAAGTACCAAGCATGGACTTATACAAGTACATAATATCATGATTTTAAAATTGATTAATATAGATGACAGAAAAGTCAATGTGTGTTTTAAATCTATACACTAAAATGTTAAAACCTGATTTAGAAGCAATTTTTATTGGTTAAATTCAGGGTTTCTATTTACCATTTAGTTTGATGCACAGAAACTATGAATTTACCTTTTTTTTTAAAGGTTACAGCGGTGAACATTTTGAGATGTAAATTCGAAAAGAATAACATAATTTCAGGAATTTGACAAGCATACGGTTTCTCTCATTCTCTTTGGAGTAACATAGAAAGAAGATTGTATGACTACTTTGACTAGTATTTAAAAAAAAGGAACAAAGATTCACATTGATTGAAAATATACCTCACTCTGAATTTATCAATGTTCGTTTAAAATTTGGTATTTTGGCTAGCATTTTTTCCCCTTCCAGTTTCATTTCTATTTGAGAACTTAACATCACCTGAAGGAGTTCACAGGACTTTACGCAATTATTCCTTGTACATGTGATGTGTGACATCAGTTCAGCAAAATATACATCATATAAGGATCGCAATTCATTTCTAAACTGCTCATGCACCATGTAATCCTGCACGTATGGCACCTAGTACTGCCATCCTCCCAATGTTTGCTTTGAGATAAGATAGTGTCTTTCCACCTGCTCCTCCGTCTCAGACTGGTAAAATACCCTAACCTTTATACACATATCATCTTCATCATTTTCTAGCAGTATGCTGCTTTTGAAAAATGTCCACCTCAATTTTCATTGGTCACTAATAAATCAAACTAATGAAAGTTTACTGGAAATTCATTTAAACTTTCACGGTCGGTGATGTATTTTTGTGATGTACAAAGGGGCATGATCATATGATATAGGGAGAGAATGGAAGCAATCATGTGAAATTACATGCCTTTCCTTTTTGTGTGTGGGTAAATTTAAGAAACAATCTGTTATGTGATTTATTCTCTGCAGTCAATTTCAAGCAGTGTATTTGAGATGCTTTTGGTTACCCTCCATTGTGGGTGATTTTTTACATACATGATTGTATAGTTTCATATAAAACACTGTTGCATATTGTTATAATAAATTCATTTATTGTATATATGTATTTGTAGCATATTTATTGAATTTGCTCTAAATGATTACTATCAAATGGAATTGCAAAATTTGGATGATTTAGGACTGAATTGATTTCAATGGTAGTGTTGTAATAGTTGAAGAGCCAAAGTGAAGAAAGGGGGGTGAATATCTGAAGTGAAAGAGAAGGTTATTAATTTTGAACGCCTGGTAAGAACAAGAGAGAGAGAGAGAGAGAGAGAGAAGGGGGGGGGAATAAGAATTAAAGTGATTGAACTTCAAACAGATTATTTAAATTAAGTAGAATGTTAGGTGTTGGACAGAGAAGTGCATGTATTGATTGCAAAGAAACTCTAGTATTTTCCTCATTTCATCTTTCTTCATTTCCCAATTTCATTTGTTACTTTGCAAACCCAGTTTGGGAGGACATTGCCCTCTGACATTATGCCAGGCACTGCCACCCTATATGTGTCAACAAGTGTCGGCTTGTGATGGCCCTAGACACTGCAGTTATCACCAGTGACTAGCCCTAACTTCCCAAAATTTGGTATAGAACTCTCTTTGTTTTATCCTGCCTCCCAAGAAGGATGAAAACAACATCTTCTCTCTAACTCTCTAACTCTCTTCACTACTACACTTTTCAAAGTTCTTCATCGAAGCAACACGTCATTTTTGAGAATGTCACCTCTACCACCACAATTTGCTTCGTGCATACACCAGGAGCAAATCCTTTTTCAATTCTAACCTCCTTCATTTCATTTGGAGAATTCTCTTCCGTGCCTATCACCTCTTGTATGGCACATCAACTCTTTCTCTGCCGTCTTCAAAGGATGGGCAGTTTTGCAGTGGAACGTTTAAATCAGGACCCGACATGGCACCTGATTCTCCGCTGGGAGCTGCCAGTTTCTTCGTTCCGGTAGCTCTTTTCACACACGAGCTCGATTCACTGTAGCTCGTCTGAACTTCCATCAACGAGTCCGTCTCACTGCAACTCTGATGATTTCACTTCAAAGTCCGGCTCATCGATCCAGCATCGAGCGACTCCTGCTCTTCACGATCACCACCACCGGCTTTGATGTCTACATTTCAACCTGGGCCTCCGACATCGAGCGACTCACTGCCTCGTCGTCGAGCGCCACATTTCGTATCTTCTCTTCTTGCCCGAGCGCTACATTCATCATCATCACGAGTGTCGGCATCAACATCGCGTTCTTCTCGGCTCTTCAGCCACGTCAACAAAGTCGCGTTTCCATCATCAAGCCTCCGCACAATCATCGCGTGAGCCCCTTTCTTCGTTTCATCCGTCATCATCTTCATGCATGGACTTTCGATGTCATTTTTACCATTGTCGTAAGCTCTATTCATTCATCGCATTCAATTTATTAATGTTCGTTCTCATTCATTACATGACCATTTAAACTCCGTGCAATATCCACGATCCTCATTTAAATGATTCTCATTCAGAATCATTTATTCACTTGCATGACTACACTTTGTAAGTGTTTTGTCTGCAACATCAGCGCAAAAGTAGCAATCTACATCAGACAATTATTCTGGACAATGTAAACATAGATGAACTCTGTGACGAATTCGTGATTAGATCGGAGACAAGGAGAAAGATTTAGTATGACTTATAAGAAAGTTCACTAGTTGCTATGTTGTTTCCGTTCACCCTCTTTAAAATTCACGGCATTGTATCTTTATTTTTATTTTTTTCAATTTCCTGATATTTCATAAAACATTTTTTATTTTGAAAAAAAAATTACAATGTCACATCTTATTTTTTGTTTTATTGAAAAGCTGATGTAGGCCTATGTCACTGGTGTACTGGTGGGGGGGGGGGGCTTGGGGGCGCTAGCCCCCCAAATATATCACATGATTTTCAACAAAATTCGCGTTTCTCCATTTCTGTTGCAAACTGACACATTCCCAAACAGCCAGGAAGAGCATATATTTTGTATAGTCGCTAATGGGCCTAATTAGTGGCCGATAACACTAACAGTAGTATACAATTCCTTTCCAGAAGCTATTGCGACAAGCTCTGCCGGGAGATAACATGATACCCACCACTCGGGCTGTGCATGCAAACATTTGCGAACGAACGTTCCATACGTGCATCAAGTGGGGAAACTGAATTCAGACAAGGATTAATATAGAGAACAGTACAACGGATCGTCCTCTTTCTCTAATTTAGTGAAACTGCAAAGCTAGGATTAAGAGTTATAATTAATTAAAACGTCAAAGTACACGATACAACGAATTGTCTTCTTTTTCTAATAATTTAAGGAAACATGAAAGATTCCGCGCTACGCGCGGGATGGGCGAAAATGATTTCAGACGTGGATTAAGAGTAATAATTAAATGAAACGTCAAAGCTTCCGAGCGGGTTGAACTGAAATCAGACAAGGACACGATACATTGAATCGTCTTCCTTCTCTAATAATTTAATGAAACGGTAAAGCTTCGCGCGGGATGGGCGAAAATGAATACAGACAAGGATTAAGAGTAATAATGTATTAAACCGTCAAAGCTTTCGCGCTTCGCGTGGTAGGGGGGAAACTGAATTTTGACAAGGATTAAGAGTAATAATTTATTGAAATGCAAAGCTTCCGCGCGGGGAAACTGAATTCAGACAAGGACACGTGACAACGAATCGTCTTTTTTCTCTATTAATTAAATGAAACGTGAAAGCTTCCACGCGCGGTGGGGGGGGGGGGGGTGGGGACTGAATTCAGACGAGGATTAAGAGTCGAGAATGGTACATCGAATCGTCTTCTTTCTTTAATAATCTAATGAAACGTCAGAGCTTTCGCGCTACGCGCGGAGGAAGGGGAACTTGACTCAAACAAGGATTAAAAGTCGAGAACGGTCCAACGAATCGTCTCTTCTTTCTCTAATAATTTAATAAAACGTCAAAGCTTCCGCGCTTCTCGGGGGAGGGGGGAAACTGCCCCCTCCCTGCACCCAACCTCCTAGGGAGCGCCCCGTCTATAAGCTATTCGCGAGCTCACTACCGCCCCCCCCCCCCTTAAAATGAAATCCTGGCTACGCGCTTAGGGAGGGGTGCAACCTGCCACACGCTTCTACCTCTTGGTTGCTTTGATCCATTGCCGAAAATATTTTGGCACCAATCATCCCCCCCCCCCCAACCACGGATACAAATCGACACCCTTGTCAGTACCCAATAAAATAACGAAAAGGGAATACTTTTTATCATGTATTTTATTGCCAGTGCAATCTTGTTTCCTCGTAGTTAAATTAAACAGAGAGTTATGTTGTGTGATCAGTGAACACGCCTTTACAATATTCATTCACATTACCCACACACACTCATATCTCCACAAAACTGATGGCACAATGAACGTAAATAAAAGTAATAATTTACAAGTTATGAAGAGATATATTTAAAAAGCACTCGTCTCAGTCGCACAGGAAAGTTCGGGCTAGGGGAAACATGTTCTTCTTGGGTCACCGTTGGCTTGGATGCCCCCTCCCCCAGCCAAGGTCTAGATATGCACTGTCATGCAGTCTCCGAACTTTCCAATCTTATCAATAAGTTCATGTGAAAAGCTTCAGCTGGAGGCCTGTATCTAACTATCGATGTTGTTGCTTGTTTAAAGAATATGAAAATAAATAGTGAAACTAGATTAAGCCGCACGTGATAAGATAAGCTTTAATTGCATATGGTGTACAAAAACGTATCAAAAAAACTCTTGATATTAAATTCATATGGTAATCTGAATTTTCTCTGAACAGGCTGCAAACTTCTTGTCTCATTTAATTATCTGACACAGTTGCAAGAAGTTCGTCTGCTTTGATAATTTGTGAATTTCGCCATCTCTCGCGTAAGTTATCGTTACCCGAATAGCATATGAAATCGATGATTTAAGCTATACAAAATAATCAGAAGTAAATATGAGGAAAGGCTTTGAAAAGGTTTAAATTCAATAATTTAATAGAAGGAAGCGATGTATGATGTTATTTTAACGTGGAGAATGTTAGCCTCAATTCTTCCATTATTGAACATTATAAGGAGTTGAAATTAACATTAACTTTTCCAATACTTGAGTGCACAAATTAATATTACAAACATTACAAAAAGAAAGAAGAAAAAAACTCTGTAACCTAAATTGATTTTCAGTCTGTAAAGCATGCAAAATGGTTTTCGACACCCATTTTTTTTCTTCAGCCCAAGCTTGGAACAAACGAATTGTTTCAAGACTTTTGGAAAAGTTAGTTGGTAAAACACCTGTGGAAACAAAGTAATGAATAAGGTGTCATTAGAGAGAATAAAGGTACTCTTTACCATGAAAACAATTTTCAAGGGCACATAGTTTATCAACATTTCATAATGCTAGGTTTACGTTGTGTTCCCGGTGGCCACGACACCGGACCACGACCCGAAACGTAGTGCGCCTTGGGATTTTTGCCATTTTTCTATGTAGTCAAATTTTGTTACGTCTTGCCAAGTTTTTTCATTACGTACTGTCACGTTCTGTTGCGTTCACTTTGTTTTAATATGACCTACTAGGTTTCTCATCCGCACCGTGACTGCCGTGGTCCTTTTTGTTGACAGTTTAAAAATCTGGCCCGGCATCCACGGCAATCACGGCTTGTCATGTTTGCCTATTCCGTCCCCCGCGTTGTCTCACGTCCATCCCGTTTTGTCCACGGTGGCAGGAAACGTGATTGCCGTGGCCGCCGGAACAAAACGTAAACCTATCATTATAGGAGCTATTAAAATAAATGTGCATATACTCTTTGTTGTTGATACACACTGTATGTATAAAGAAAGTGAAAATGATAATGATACTGAGTTATCAGGATATAGGCCGCGGTTTACGTGACAACATCGTCTGCTAAGAGCTAGAAAGCCATTATTATCTGTGACTCAGGATCAACGAACTTCTGGATGTCAACAGACTCTGCCATATCCTCCTCCTCAGTGGGGTAAAAGCTATAATCATTCATTGATTGGTTGGTACAGTAATTGGTGGAGGTGTCGCGGTCTAGTTCATTCACT